TTCTTCTAATCGACGCAACTTAATTGAATATCAATCAGTATAAACACATTGCAAAATGCCACTTCACAGTTATGGACAGAGGGGCGGATCCAGCCGGTGGCAGGGGAGGGGGCCAAAGAGGGGGCCCAATTCGTAAGAAAATATTTAGCGGCGAAACAGCCATCCGGTGAATAAGGGGGTGGGATAGTGTGTAAGGAGCACTAATTTGTTTTCCCTCGAAATTAAAATACATGTTGAAGGTAATGACAAGTTTGGGGAAATTTGAGAATGAGATTCTTAGTAATTCTTTAAAGTTTTGATATATTTGGATGCCCCTGTGGATGTATTATAAGCACTAGAAAATTTAGACCCCAAAAACACTTCTGCTTTCGAGCAAATTGATTAATAAAAACTGGTAAATGTCAAATATTTCAAATAACGCCTAAGGCCATTCCATGTTAGCTGCGACCATGAAAATCTCAGAATATACAGTTCTGATTTATAATTTCCAAACGGGAATAGCAAATCGGTCGATTGTAGTCAAGAAATCTTGTTTTAAATCTAAAGTAATATCAGTCTTGAGAGGGAACTATAAAACATAAAGCGTTCACTATTTACAATTTCATCACTTTAGACTCGATTTCAACCGCGACAACGATCTTTGAATATTATAAAATCGAATATGCTTCCAATATGTTCATTTGAACCAAATTCATGACCCCATACCAAAACTTGGTATTACCTTTAATATATCAGATTTTGAATATGAGGGCATATAATTAATTCAGGTTTCTTTATCCTGCAGAAGATTGATTGTTTGAATCATTAAAATAAAAACAAACTCACGCAAGCCTGCTGGGAATCATCTTCAATAACAGCCACACTCTCATTTGCATATAGTGACCTGTTTTAAGCACATGGTGTAGGGCCTAGGTACCTTGAATTCCTTATATTGCTATGCTTATTACTCAGCCCCTATACATATTCTACCAAAATTGTTTGGCACATGTCATTTATTTGTAATCTTGAACATTCAACGTACGTTTCGTTGCATTATGTGAAAAAAAATTGTATCATTACCAGAACTCAAGGTTATCTTAGGGCGTGTTTATGCTTAACTTTTTCTGGCCAGAATCAGGCATCTGTTACGCGTTTAGTTTAAAACACGCTTGCGTCCTTTCTCACTTTTGTAGAATCACCGAAAAACGGCGATCACGATCGCCGATCGTAAACTCACAAAAAGATGCGTTTACAATTTGTAACGCGTTTAAATGGGGTCAACGCACTGACCTTTAGTGGGTCTACGTAGCATGCACAGTGAAGGTTTGCGAATCCAGCTGGAAGGCCAATTAAGGCCACCCAGGGAGAATTGCCTGGAGGAGCCAGAGAAGTGAGCATAAACAGTACACCGTGGAACTGCGATTACGATGAGCGTTTACGATGAGCGTTACAAATCGCGCATTCTGCCTTCAAAATTTAAGCTTAAACGCACCCTTAGTTTGACCTATTAACGATTGTATTTGTTCATTCCAATGGGCTTCAATTAATAGAGGAGCCACCCGGTTCGAGTAGGCAAAGGGTTAAGAGATACCTGAACTGTGGCATACTTGCTTACCATATGAAATTTAAAAAAGATCAATAGGTCTATAATTGATTTCAACATGCAGTAGGAAATTTATATTGATATCTCAAACTTTAGTCACATTGCAAGTAATTTTTGCTATTTCGTATTCTATTTCGTATTCTTTGTTTCCTTCATCAAAAGGGCTACATTTGTTTCCACTCCACTATACAACACATATCTACGTGGATATCCACCATTCGTTACACACATACAAGCACACGCACACGCACACGCACACAATACACTCACACAATAAACTCACAAACTCATACACAAAAATCGTATGAACATATTTTCATTTGAAATTTCATCCTACTTTAGCATCGCCTATAATTGCGGTCTCCTGCACATTTTCCACCGATATTTCTGCCGATACTTCGGATAGTACTTTGAAGTTATGATAATATGTTATAGAAAAATCAAGTTCGCTATTATATGTATATATGCAATTTTTTGTTTACATGAAGTTATTGTTGTTTGTACATTTTCTATCATACCTGACGTTTATTGTGTGCAGAAAAATGCAGAAATCAAATAAAACAAAATCAAATTAAATCATGGAGAGGTAAATACAACGCCTTTTCATCTGAAACTTTGCACAAACTTTCATAAACTCGTCTAGCTACTATAAATTTTGAGAAGAATTTTTAAGGGCCTGCAAATTCATGAAAGGGGCTACGATAAATAACATGTAAAAATGGAGAGAGAAAACTAGTTCATGATTCTGTTTTACTAGATTTTAGTGAGAGAGGGGTTGAAAAGAGAAAGAAATATAGTGAGTAGGAGGGATATAAAGAGACGGAATGGGGGAGAGATATAGAGGGAGTGGTGAGAGATGAGCAAAGAAAGACGAAGCATAAAATATGTACCATTGAGCTATAATAATATGGTTATTTATATAGCGCCGGTATCCGTCAGGTTCTGACGCTCACGGTGCTTTACACATATTACCCTGGTCGTAGCCGAGCTGCCAAATAAGCGGACACCCTTTTTTTTTTTTTTTTGGAGTCCAAAAAAAAAATTGCTTCGTTGGGGGGGGGGGGGGGGGGGGGGGTAAGGTCACCTTTTTTAGGTTAGCCGTGGGTATATATATATATATTTTTTTAATAATTAAAAAAAAACAAAAAAACAATGGGGGGGGGGGGGGTTTACACACATAAAAATACCAAAGTGGGGTTGAACCCCCAACCCCCCGCCCCCTGCGTACGCCCCTGTATACTCGAAGGCTTACTGAAAAGCCTTTCAAAACCAAGCGTCAGTGCTCATAGTGACAGTGGCGGATCCAGGGGGGGGGGGGCTTGGGGCCCGGTCCCCCCCCCCCTGGGAAAAAACACGTGATTTTTAGCTTATTGGGGGAATAGGCACCCCCCCCCCCCCTGGCGCTCAAGGGAGCGGGGTGATAATTTTCACATTTTCGAGGGCCCCCCCCCCCCCCCCCCCCAAACAAAAAAGGTGCTCTCTACCGGCCGGCGCGATTTTCAAATTTTTGGGAGCAAAAAAAATAAAAATAGTGCCCACTACCCCCCCCCCCCCCCCCTGGATAGTTATAATTCTCGCGCCCGTCAGAATTATCTCTCTCTCTCTCCTCACTATCAATCTTTCTCTGTCACTCTCTCTCTCCTCTTTTTCTTCCTTCCCCCCCCCCCCTTTTTCTCTTGTTTCTCGTTTTCTCTTTCCGTTATTTTATGCCTCGATCTTTTAATTTCACTCAAAGTCAGTTGTCACACGGATTACCATCGTTATTTATTATTTATTTATTCAGTCTTCTTTAGAATACAGGGTAGTCCTTTCAGAGCCACAAGGCCTGCTTTTCAAAGGAGCCCTGTAGGCGAGTGACAAAGTACATGGTAAAAATTACAACAATAACAAATAAAAACATATACGGTACACAATACATAATACACAGTTATTTACTACTAGATGTGTTAGCTAGGTACGTTAACACAAAACACGTTTTAGTTTGAAAAGACAACCTACATGAAATTCATTCTTGGATTTGAATGAGCCAAATAAAGCAAGGGAATATAATTATATTTATGAATTAAACAAAACAAGTTCACTTAGATTGATATACTTGCACTGGTACGATCGTTATGTCTACACTGTGCATACCTGCAAACATACGATTCATAGAAAAAATGTATATATATACATGTATCACTTATGAATATTCACACTGTCCAATTTATTGAACTATAGATGGCGCTACATCTGTTACTCATAGAGATCTCTCCGTCTACGCCGCTCAACAACTTGCCGTTTTTTAATATGTATCCATTGTTCGGTTTTTGTTCTACTTGCGCATCTCTTCGAATGTATCTCCCTTCTCTCTCTCTCTCTCTCTTTCTCTACATGTATCTCTCTCTCTCTCTCTCTCTCTCTCTCTCTCTCTCTCTCATATATACCTGACACACACACACACACACACACACACACACACAACTTTATTCTGATATCATAATATATTTTCTTGGCGACTTGATTCCAAGTCTATGGCATGAATAAAAGATTATCCTTCAACATAAGCAATCGTTACAAAGCAAAAATCGACTACTAAGCTAAAATAAAGAAACCCTCTATTCGCTTTAGACTTTGCATGACAGGCCTACTTGTAATCAGTGTAGGCTTTTTATCTTTTCGGTAGGCCAACAGTTAACTATTGGATCCGTATCTTTAGATCTTTGTCACTGTACCCTTTCCTTGAGCCATAATGCATGACCGTACTGAGGATTTTGTTTATGTTGGGGACGGGGGGGGGGGGGGGGGGGGGGGGGGTGGGGGGAATTCAATGAATTATTGATAATTGACTGCACTTTTTTTTGTTGTGGGAACTGCCCCCTACTCTATCCCCCACTGTGTACAGTCATGGTTCAGTGGCAAAGCAATGACCCCGTAACTGTGAGGCCCTTGGATCAAAACCGTGTCGATGTGCCATATTATAGTGACCTTTTGTGGGGCATTAATCCTCATTACTGTCATTTATGACTGAAGGGCGTATGTCCCCTAGTTGATAAGCATAGTATCATACACATGCTTTAGCAGTCACGCAAAACAAACACTGGCAAATTATTATTCAATAAAGTCTGAGAATGTATACTATTATCTGGATCTATTAGGAATAAATCACTGTCAAAATATATTCCAACTATATGAGCGACAGTGTAGTAAGGTATAATACAAAATGTACAAACGTTAATAACTTAATGTCAAAGTAATGTTTACATATATACAGGCGCGTACGCAGGGGGGTGTTTTGGGGGTTAACCCCCCCCCCCCCTTGGCATTTTTTATGTGTGTATTTTTAAGAAAACCCCCCTAAAACCCCCCTTTGTTTTGTTTAAACCCCCCCCCCCCCTTGAAAAAAATCCTGCGTACGCCCCTGCATATATACATATAATAACGAACTTTATATTGTTATAACATATTACTATAAATTTAAAGTACTGTCCGAAGTATCTGTGGAAAATGTGGAGGAGACAACAATCATAAGCGATGCTTAAGTAGGATGGCAGCATGACAATTAGGATGGTTCGTGACAACAGATCTTGTGCATGAGGTTCACCGTGTCGTCAAATAACACAGCGGCTGCAGATTAAGTAGGAATAAACAAACATGAAACAAGAGAATTAAATTGATTGAACACTTCAAAAACATAATTTACAAAAGCATATTTACATGCTACAAAATACACTACATAGAATCATAATAATACAAGTAAATATTCTTTGTTCAGGTGTGAGTTACTTGTGAGTATATAGTACGAACATAATAGCCCGAATTCACAAAGGAAGGTTTGTCGACAAACCAGGTTTTCGTACGTCATATGACGCGTTTTGACGCGGTTTTTACAAACCTGGTTTGTCAAAACGCGTCAAAACGCGTCATATGACCCACGAAAACCTTGGTTCGTCGACAAACCTTCTTTTGTGAATTTGGGCCCACGAGTATAATTGAATGAGTAACATTCAATAAAGTATAGCGTGATGTAGATGGTGACCGCAAATATCATGATTATAACAGTAGAAAAGTAATGGTAGTAGTAAAGTTCACCCCTGTTTCTATTACTATTATTTATGTACGGCCAACTGTTCGTAGTTCTTCTCCTACTTCTTTTTCATTTTCTTCTTCTTCTTCTTCTTTTAATCTTTAAAGGGCTATGTAGCCTATAATGGCTACATAATTATGTAGAAAGATTACCAGTTGTTTATACATGCAGGCGCACTAAACAACAAGCGAGATGAGTGAGCCTACCAGTATATCTTAAGCACTTTCATATCCAAAATTCAATCTTACAATTACTGTACAGACAGATTTAAAAGGGTATATTTTTTTCTGTAATTGCATCTCGCGGTTTTATTAATAAATTATTAGCCTACCATATAAGAATAACTAGTTGCAAGAACACGATGGATGAGAGGGCAGGTAAAGCAATAATGCATCCCGCTCGGCACGGGGGCGTTGTTGATGTCGATAAAGATGTTGGCTCTGTGGATATGTTTCAGTAAAAAGAAAGACAAAATTGTAATAGTTAAGATCATCGTTGCATGCACAGAGGCCCGAATTCACAAAGCAAGGTTTGAGCTCAGACCAAGGTTTGACCTCAAACCTCCTTTTGTTTCGCCAAACCTCCTTTTGTTATTTACAAACCTGGTTTGTAAATAACAAAGGGAGGTTTGGCGAAACAAAAGGAGGTTTGAGCTCAAACCTTGCTTTGTGAATTCGGGCCATAGTGTTTACATGACTGACGATACACCAATCATGGTTCTAAGACGATTACCCTCTGGACAATCACCCCCGGCCAATTATCAACGGGACAGTATCCCCCAAGGACTATTACCCCCCGAAAATCCCCAAGGATAATTATCCCCCCCCCCCCCGAAGACAATACCACCCCCCCCCCCCCTCCTCCAGAGAATTACTCCCAAGAAAATTACCACCCGAGGATAGTTACCCCCCCCCCCTCAATCAAACCTTCCCAGAGGACAATTCGCCCTGAAAATTACCCTCTTGGACAATCACCCCCCCCCCCCCCCTCCCCCCGAAAGAAAAAAAAAACGACTTATTATCAGGGTGGGTTATCAGGGGGTGATTTTTCGGGGGATGATTTTCCACTGGGTAAATGTCCTGATACAATTGAATACGTTTTGTTCGTAGATTGCATCGTTCCTAAAGGTTCGTTCAGATATGAAACGGTGAACCACCGAAAAAAAAACCTTCGCACGACCTTTTTTTTGCATTTAAATGAATGGCAACAAAGCTCCTTGGCTCTGTGCACTATAAAGAGACAAAAATGTGAAACATATTACAACTTACGTCATAAAAAAACGCCATAATTTTGCCTCGTCATATATGAACGAGGATTTTTGACTGATGTTGAGCAAAATACACAACCCAAGAACCTTGAATGAATAAAATAATTCATGGTTTAGTTAAGATAGTTAAACCTCAAACTCACCATGGTCCTCTGTTGACTGGCTGATCTCCCGACCCCGTTCTCCTTCTCCGCCGGAGCAGTGCAGAATTATAACATTTATCCCGTAGAGGGCGCCAGCATCCAGCCTCTCGATCGTATATTCGAAATCATATTCATCTTCATCGAAGGGAACGAATCCGACTCTCGTCCATGACTCTGAAGCCGGAGGCATCAGCTCGACGATGAACCCGCATACGGGCCCGTCGCCGTCGTAATACCCCTTCCATTCGATCTCAATCGTAGATGTAGTGACGTTCTTAACTCGGGGTGGTGACGAGAGATGTGGCAGGGCTGTTATAAAGGGAGGAAGAGAGAGAGAGGGGAGGGAGAGAGAGAGAGAGAGAGAGAGAGAGAGAGAGAGAGAAGGAGACAAATAAGGAGACAGAATTGAGACAGAGAGGATACAGAGAAAGAAAAAAAGGAGAAGAAAGAAAAGGAAGAAGAAATTGATTATTTTTGTTTTCTATTTACCCATCCACAGGGTTCCTTTATTAATCATAAACATAATCATTTTTACCAAAGACGGCACCTACACTATTCCATGACTTGGCATATAAATATTCAAAGAGTAAAATATTACAAAATTAGAATGGCGGCAAAGCGACATAATTATAAGATATTCAACTTGACAAAATATAATTTGTACACCAGGGAGTGGAGAATGTGCATACATTGTGTGCGGGTAAGCCTGAATCCTATGACCGGGGTAATAATATATATATATCTGTAAAGCGCTTTGAGAGGGCCTTCGGTCTTGAAAAGCGCTATATAAGAACTAGCTATTATTATTATTATTATAAAAACAAACACGCAAACTGAACATAGACACTAAGGAAGATGTAATAAATTAAAACCCCAAACTCACCAATGTCCTCTGTTGATTGGCTTATCTCCGGACCCCTTTCTCCTGCTCCGCCGGAGCAGTTCAGAATTAAAACACTTATATCGTAGAGGGCGTCGGCTTCGAGTCTCTCAATCGTGTATTCGAAATCGTTCTCATCTTCATCGAAGGAAACGAATCCGACTCTCGTCCATGACATTGAACCATGAGGTTTAATCTCGACGATGAACCCGCATACGGGTCCGTCGCCATGGTAAGCTCCCTCCCATTCTATCTCAATCGTGGATGTAGTGACGTTCTTAACTCGGGGTGGTGACGAGAGATGTGGCATGGCTGTTTCTAAGGGATGAAGAGAGAAAGAGAGAGAGATAAAGAGAGAGAGAGAGAGAGAGAGAGAGAAGAAAAGAAAGGAGAGAGTTGCATGTATAAATATATTACCATTTTATGCCAGCAGGGTTAGAATGAGTTTAATTCTTTTTTAATTTTTAGTTTTATTGAGTTATTAAGTTCCGGATTTGGACAAAATTTTATTATAAAAAAACCTGCATTGATGATTGAATTATTCTAATATCAATATTATGATTTTGCATATTAAACTATTGCATGTCTTCAAAATAACATGCTAAGAGAACTCCAAAAAGTGTATTTTTATAAACAGCCATCATCCTTTGATGGACGTAGTATTCTCTGGAGGTAGACATTACATTTATTTATATTGGCAACTTTCTGTTTGTCAATTACAGCTTTCCCTCACTGTGCCCTGCGTGTCCCCGTGGATGGCCATTCTGACAGACTGTGTACTATGCAGATGACAATGTTACTCTCTTTAATCTCTATTGAAATAAATGTAAATTACTCAGGAGAGTGAGCCTAGCTAGAATAAACAAGGAAATTCGTTTTTTTTCTTCTGGGCCCCTAATTACGGAGTGAGGGAGTGAGGAAGGGGGTTGTCAGACTTACAGCCGGTTTTGATCTGTTTCCCCATATTTGATTCACTTTTATTATTGCTATTTATTGTAGGGGTTATTAACAAGAATGTATAACTACCTTCAAGTGAGTGTAGAGAGTGAGACGAGAAATCAGCTTTAGTTTAAAGATAGGATTACAATGCATAATTCAGACATAAGCTTTTCATTCATGCATTCAGAGGTATTTTAGTTTTGATCATCATAATAAATACTATGAGAATGGTGTTTAAACGTCCTCATTTCGTGCTTGAATGATACATGCCTACAATTTCCCTTAGCTTTGTTTATTAAGGATTGCTTTAATGATTCTAAATGCAGAAAACATTTCTGAGAAATGATATATAAGATTTTTTCTTTGGGGCACGTGCCCCCTGTGCCCCCGCCCCCCCCCCCCTCCCGCCCCCCCCCCCCCCGGATCCGCCACTGACATTAGTAATGTTCTCTTTGGCTCATGATATTGCGCAATGTACATGTATTGGGACATGGGTCATGTACATGTATGCGAAATGTACACTACATTGGGATTGACTGTGTGCAATCCCAACGTAGGCCGCATACACGGGGAATCCCCACTATTGTATGACTAGTATAACTAGTGTCAATTTGAGATCAGAACAGTTTGTAGATTACAAAATGTTGTATATGCAGATACCTTTTTTCTCATCTCTTCGTTCCTTACATGATTTTCTTATACCTTACGTATAAAAAACTTTTTTTTTCAATTTTTTTTTTTAATGATTCCAAAACAATACAAATCATTCTTAGAAATATTGTTGTTTTTCATTTTGATATGATTTAATACATTTTCAATACATAGATTGTACGATTGATTGATTGATGAAGAAACAATTAAAATCAGTTGTAATATAAAACGAATAACCCCATCCAACCAAGCACACTATTCCCCCACCCCCCCCCCCCCCCCAACAAAAAAATAAATAATAATAATAAAAATAAATAAATGTGACACACGACACACAAAAACACACACCACCCGACCACACTTCCACATACATATCACACACTGTTCCTAGCCTCCTCAGAATACCCAAAATAGGAACGACAGAATAATAGAAATAATCTATGAAAAAAAATGAATAAATAATCAAAACGAGGTTTCAATAACAAGTATATTGACACACTCGCAGCTAGCCCACACCCATAATCAGTACACACACGTACACGCCGTAGCATGTTATTTTGCCTTGTTAGTATAAACGAGCATTTAAAGACCGTCAATACTACTGGGATAGAAGGGATCAGACCACCCAGCCAGGTCACTGACAGGTGGCTATCTCATCAACTCAGCTCTCAACTAACATAAGAAAAAGAGGATCATGGGGGACCAACAGGCACCGATTGGGGAAGTTTTCTATATAGAGGGAGCAAGTAGCTACAAGGAGAACAGTGGGGCTTTACATGTTCACAGCCCACAACATAATCATAACACACGCGCACACGCCCTAGCAAATTCTTTAGTCCACTTAGTATCAAAACAATACAAATACTTCTTCAAAATGCAATTCTATTTCATCATAAAAACATTGTTCAATTAACTTAATACATGTACAGTTCATAAATTACGATTGAAAGAAATGAATGAAATCAGTTATGATTAAAAACAAATTATAATCCTCTCCCTTACTCCCAACCCCAAACAAAACCCACTACCATCTGCAACTAGGGCTTCTGCGGATTTGTGTAAAGCAGGACTTACGTGGAATGGACATTACGTTTACCAAAATATATTAATACTCACTTGGGTTGTTATTTCCTTTCTTATTCCAGGGCATATATATGTGCACGACAGAATGAACTAAATAAAAAGAAAATAAATACATTATTGTTCTTTCACATACAATAAATACTCATCAAATGTCATCAGTATCATGGTGTGAGGCTATTTAATGCGCAAAATAACATTTGGAAATCTATATTTAATCTAAAGAGTCATAGAGATGGATCATTAAAGGACCCCAAGGAAGAACAGTAGTGTTCTATAAACACTGCTGAATTGGGCTTTCCACCGATTTTTGTATAAATATTTCATTTTGTATATTTTACTATGTACATGTATCATATTTTTATCTGATTTCGGAAATAAAAACAACAACAACAACAGGAGTTCTGAGAAGATATAAACTCTACCTATCGAGAATAATAAATATTGTGACAATCATTTCATGAAAAGAGGTTAAGAAAAATCATTCCAACATTATGGGTGACAAACTGACAGTTTACATGTAGATTAGTTATTCACAAATACTTACTGGCTACTGAACAGAGGATGAGACTCGAAATGAGCCCCACACATTGATATATTTTATTTTCGCACATCTTTAGAGTCCAATTGAATTTGAAGCTTATAGATGAAATGCGCGTTGAAAACTATTATACAGTCGGGAGTGATCTGCTTCGAAACGTGACAACAAAAGAAGGCATCGGAGTTTACACTGAGCCGTCAACAATCCTGCAATATTCGACTCCGCACAGATGACAATGCACTGCTCAATGGCCGGGATTCCCCACCGGTAGAGGTCAGTGGGATTCCCCCAACGGTCGATGCATAATTTAGGGTTTCCTGCAACTGCAATATCCGACTCCGCGCCTTACAATGACAAACGCATTGCAATATGAAGTAGGCCTATAGGGTATTCGCCCTAAGGCCTTGCCTTTTGACACAAAACGACTCGATTTGGTTTCTTAATTCATTAATTCATTTCATTTATTACCAAATTTCAAATATATTGTACTTCGCCATAAATATACCATAAACTAGTGACAAATGGAGCCAACACATCGCAAACGCTAGTCTAGGTTATCCCTGTTCAATAAATCAATGATCAAGAAGAATTATTTGACCACGTAAAAGTATTTACGATTTCTACTAATCAATTTTTAATCTGATTTATTATCATGAAATATTAATACATAATAATTATAACTCAAACATATGACACAATCTAATCAAAATATGTCACAATAATGCGATTTATATTGTACAATACAAGTACATGTATAGTACCTTTAACCATATATAGCCAGGAGGCTTTAATAAGCTTAAATAAGCCCCCCACCCCCCCCCCCTACTTTTTTGCGATAATTTGTTAACGTAAACAAAAAATCTTGCGCTTAAATTGTATATTTTTTTTCTTTCCAGTCTTTCGCATCTTAAAACAATAAAATGAAATAGGACCCACCGTTAGAAAGTCACGCGACCTTTTGTCTTTGCATGTCAGCCCCGAATCGCTCATTTTCGTGATTTGTGTACAGAACATATTGAAATATCCTTTTTCCAAAAAAAGAGATAAAACATTGGTCTTGTTTATAGTTTATAGTTTAGGTGTTTGTTTTGGGGTCAAAATAATTGAATTATAGTTAGAAATGAATAAAATAACAAAAACAAAAAAGAAATACATAAGAAATTGTCTAAACAATACATGACCTAAGGAATAACCTGCCTCTTCCAAATGTTGTTGTTGTATTATTATTCCAAATGGATCTATGTAGTAAAAATGAATTGAATTGATAACACACTAGCAATTCAGCAATTCAGCATTAATATTTATTCAATTCCATTACCAAGATTTATTCATTAAGAAATCTAAAGAAGAAGGACTATTTCAGTATTAAAGCGCTTTCCTAATTGCGTGATAGCCCGGGATGGAAGGGGTGTAGATGATTACAACGGAATAATGATAATGACGATGGTGATGATGATGATGATAATGATGGTGATGATGATGATGATGATGATGATGATGATGATAAAGATGATGGTGATGATGATGATGATGATAATGATGATGATAATGATGATGATTGATAATGATGATAATGGTGATGATGATGATGATGGCGATGATGATGATGATGACGATGCTAATGATGATGGTGATGATGATGATAATGATGGTGATGATGATGATGATGATAATGATGATGATGATAATGATGATGATGATAATGATGATGATGATGATGATAATGATAATGATAATGATGATAATGATGATGATGATAATGATGATGATGATGAATTTGAGCTCACATGTATCTCCTTCAGTATATGGTTGATATGCTCTCTCTTTGAAGTAAAAGGAGGCACTAGCAAGTTCACCAGCTGTACAGGCATGTTTCTATAATAGTCACAAACCTACCCCTAACCCTAACCACAATCCTAACCTTAACTCTAACCCTAATTCTAACCCTTACCCTAAACCTGATGCAAATGGCACTGCGTGCAAATGGATGCAAACTATCTACCTTAGCTATATTACTATGTGGCTATTAATGTGTAGAAACGTGCCTCTACTCATTACTACGCGACTGTAACACGTTTAGCCCATCGCCTGCTTCTCGCTCTTAATTCATCTCGTGCCAGTCTCTTCTTCACTATTGTGACACGGCCCGTGCTTAATTAGATGCTTGCATGGTGATGTAGATATACAGTAGGCTTGCGGGTGCACAATGTGAGAGAGAGAGGATTGAGGCGTCCTGAAAAGGACTCTCGGTAATCTTTCTTGAGGGTGTGTATTCCTGAAAAGGACTGTTGTTGTTAAAGGCTCTTTTCATTCAAGGTTGAATATTTGATCCTTTTCTAAAAGCCAATTCATGCGGCAATCAAGTTCATGGGAATCCCCATGACGTTAGCCTTTAGTCAAGGCACTCGTGCTGTATTTCTCTAAACGCGCCCGAATACATAGACTAATCGCGCGACGACTGTAATCTGTGGGACGAGATGCGCCTTGGTGCGGCTCGGTCCAGCGATCACTGCTGTAAAGCCACACTGCGTTAGTCTATTTTCAGACCCTGCTCGGCAGACAAGCAGCACGCGAGGCCTTGTCCAAAGGCTACCACGACGTTTTTTTTTTGTTTTTTTGTAGCATTGTTTTATTATATTCATTCAGTACAAAATATATAACAAACAGATATACAGCTTTATTGATTTATATAACATGAAAATATAAAGAAAATTGTACATCTCTCAAAAATACATAAGATAGTTTAATTCACAGTACATCATGTTTTCAAATTAATTATACTGAACGAATATTATAAATCAAAGAGTTACCTACAGACAGACAGACACACCACACACGCTCACATAGTCAGACCCACATACAAACTTACATATCCCCCTTCCCCCTTCATTCCAAAGCTCAACAAATCCCCCCTCCCTTCCCGAGCATTCACATCTACATATTTGTTGGAAATCCTGTCTCTTCCTTTTCCTTGAGACCAAATTATATATTTTAAAAAAATGTCTGAGTCTGAGAAAGAATTATTTGCCTCGCCTTCCTTAACTGTGGAAGTTGTCCCATTTTCTGAAGTGAAGTGTTAAAGTGCCTCTCTCCACCGCTAATTCCTTTTCTTCTTGCCTATTTTCTATAATTCTTTTTTTGATTTCTTGAGGAATTGGGGGTCTATTTTTTAGTTGAACTATATTTAAAAATCATATGTTTTGTTAAAAGAATAATGTGATTTAACAGTTGTTCTTCTCCCGCATTGGATCTTTTTATCCCGATATGAATTTCTTGCCAGTGTAGATTTTTTTTTTTTTTTTTTTTTTTTTTGGGGGGGGGGGGGGGGGCTGTGCGTAGACGATTGCGCAATGTGTAACGTCATAATGGAAGCAAATAGAAGCTGTGTCATTTATGTAACTCCTTTTGTTGGTTTAGGTATGACGTGCAGCTTGGGCTAAAAAGGACATTTTAGAATGTAACGGCATACGTAATATGAGTGAAAATTGGAGTTCACATTTTAGTGCACAACAATTGGCAGGAATAAAACACTGGCAGTTTACAAGATTAACATTTGAAAAAGAAAAATTGACTGTAAATTTGCGAATAATGAATATTTTTCAATAAGGAAAGTTTTAATTTTGATTCTCAAAACATTTTTCAGGCTCTTTTAACAGTTTTTAGGTTTTTACGGTGTCTATTCCTGCAACGCCCTTTAAGTAAACATAAATAAAATTACACAATTTCAATTCTTAAATTATGGTCACACAATGCTTATTTATATCGAATAAGAAATAAACAAACTGCCCCTCCCCCAAGCATGGACGGATCCAGTCGGCGGCAAAGTGTGGGGGGGGGGGGGGGCAAATCTCGAGAAAACATTTAGCGGCGAATAAGCAAAAAAGAAAAATTAGTGTGATCACTAAATGACAATCACTAGAAATAATGAGGGCAGCTTTTGCTGGGCAAAAGGCCAACGTACAAAGCTCCCAACGTGCGTAACAATTGTTGTTTGGAAAGACTGCAGAATACCCCGCCACTGCTCAATACCTAATAGTAGTGGAGAGCCAACGTCCAACGACCCCTCCCCCCCCCCCTACTCAGTGTTATTTAGGGTATACGCATATGCATGTTCCCTCCTTTTGAAAACACCCCCCTATAAGTCCGGTGTGTAAAGTCAATACGGTCGGATTTTTGTGTAGTACGAGCCGGACTTTGGTGCGTGAAAAGTACCCCTTTACCGGACATTTTGTTAACACGCATGGTATCCCTCCGTTCACGGTGTGGGGGGGGGGGGGGGGGGGGCGATGTACTCTCAGGTCAGTGAAAGACCTATGATATATCAATGAAATATACAAGTAAAGTTAGGTCAACACTGCCAGCGAAGGCATCGAGGTAAATGTGTCTGTACAATTAGCAATATCTGAAGTGAATAGGAGGAACTTCTCGCACGTGCATGAAAAGGGTCAATACATTTACCAGAGATGAAAAGGGCCAATACATTTACCAGAGATGAAAAGGGCATTCATGAGAAGGGGAAGGGGCTCTTTCTTAATGGGGCATTTTTCATTAGGAAACGGGGCACTTATTAGAAAGGGTAGAGGCTCTTTTTTAATGGGGGCACTTTTCATTAGGAAACGGGGCACTTATTAGAAAGGTAAAGGGGCACTTGTGAAACATAAGGTGCGCTTATCTTTAAGAATGGGGGTAGTCATTAAAAGGGGAAGGGGCACTTGTTACAGTAAAAGAGACACCTTTCAGATATAAATGGGGCAATTATCAAAGGTGAAGGGGGCACTTATCAAAAAAGAAAAGGGGCCCTTCTGGTACCGAAAAAGGGGCATTACTTTAGTATTTAGAGATTAAGAAGGGCACTTATGAGAATGGAAAATGGACACTTTTTGCAAAGGAAAATGGGACCTTGTCGAAGAAAAAGATGCACCTGTGAAAATAAAAGGGCACTTATCAGAGGTGAAAAGGAGAAGATGCACTGTTACAAATTAGAAGGGGCACTTTTGACATTAAAAGGGGCCCTATTCCTATGTAAAAAGGGGCACTTTTCGGGTATTTGAAAAAGTTGGGGCACTGTGCCCCCTGTGCCCCCCCCCCCCCCCCGTGAGTCAGTCTAGTCAATTGCCCTAGTATAGGCATATACATACAAATCTACCCCGAACCCTTATCCCAAAGCCAAACCCTAACCGGCCTAACCCTAACTCTAGTCCCTGTAACCCTAACCGGCCGTAGGCCTACCCTAACCCTAACTCCGTAACCCTAACCTAGCCCTAACCCTAGACGTAGCTGGATGCATGGGATCGCATACATGTACGTATTTCGTTGGAAAGCCAATGAAGTACAGTGATATAGTGCGATTGCACTGGCCGCCGTGATCACATCGTGACGTGGGTTGTTAGCGGTGGTGCTGACCAACGGTCATAGCGGATGTGCTGAACTACAGAGATTGAAGAGAGAAAGAATGAGATGTAAAATCAACCAACAGACACCCCCTCCCCCCTCCCCCCTAACCCTTGCCGGCCGTTAATTACCCTTACCCTAAGCCTAACCTAGCCCTAACCCTACATCCGTACCTATATCAGTGGCGGATCCAGGAATTTCTTACCGGGGGGGGGGGGGGGCACAAAATCGCATGGGGTGTAATATATGAAAAACGATGGAGCGGAGCGACCAAGCGGGGGTGGGTCTGGGAGGGGGTCAGAACCCCCTCCGTGAGTAGGAAGCATTTGCAATTTTAGAACCACATTAGGTGCATTTTCCGTACCTATATCAGTGGCGGATCCAGGAATTTCTTACCGGGGGGGGGGGGGCACAAAATCGCATGGGGTGTAATATATGAAAAACGATGGAGCGGAGCGACCAAGCGGGGGTGGGTCTGGGAGGGGGTCAGAACCCCCTCCGTGAGTAGGAAGCATTTGCAATTTTAGAACCACATTAGGTGCATTTTCAGGCACTTCCTGGAGTAATAATGACGTAAAATTGCTTTCTCCTACCCCCTCAAAGAGTAGGGATCCAGGGGCGGATGATGGGATCTGGCTTTTTGCTAAAGGGGGGGGGGGGGTTGACCCAATGACGACACGGAGCATCGTCCACGAGCCGCGAAGCGGCGAGGCGATTTTTTGTTGTTGTTGCTATTTTGAACCCCCGTAAGTGATGTTTTCCTGGCATCTACTGACACAATGGAGACCATACAAAGCAGTGCATGTTAACGTCTTTTTAAATCAAGTAACAGTTTGAGGGGGGTTCGACCCAATGACGATGGGGAGCATCGTCCACGAGCCGCAAGGTCCGAGCCGCGTATCGGCGAGGCGATTTTTTGTTGTTGGGGGGGGGGGGGGGGGGCTATTTTGAACCCCCGTAAGTGATGTTTTCCTGGCATCTATTGAGTCAGACGCAATGGAGACCATAAAAAGCAGTGCATGATAGTAAGTCTTTTTAAATCAGGTAACAGTTTAAGGGGGGTCGACCCAAAGACGATGCAGAGCATTGTCCACGAGTCGCGTAGCGGCGAGGCGATTTTTTGGGGTGCTATTTTGAACCCCGTAAGTGATGTTTTCCTGGCATCTATAAAGGCCTACTAACACAATGGAGACCATAAAAAGCAGTGCATGATAACGTCTTTTTAAATCAAGTAACAGTTTGAGGGGGGTTCGACCCAATGACGATGGGGAGCATCGTCCACAAGCCGCAAGGTCCGAGCCGCGTATCGGCGAGGCGATTTTTTGTTGTTGGGGGGGGGGGGGGGGGGCTATTTTGAACCCCCGTAAGTGATGTTTTCCTGGCATCTATTGAGTCAGACGCAATGGAGACCATAAAAAGCAGTGTATGATAATTACGTCTTTTTAAATCAAGTAACAGTTTAAGGGGGGTCGACCCAAAGACCATGCAGAGCATTGTCCACAAGCCGCGTAGCGGCGAGGCAATTTTTTGGGGTGCTATTTTGATCCCCCGTAAGTGAGGTTTTCCTGGCATCTTTATAGGCCTACTAACACAATGGAGACCATAAAAAGCAGTGCATGATAACGTCTTTTTAAATCAAGTAACAGTTTAAGGGGGGTTCGACCCATGACGATGCGGAGCATCGTCCAAGAGCCACGAAGTCCGAGCCGCGTATAGCGCCGAGGCGAATTTTTTTTTTTTTTTTTTTTTTTTTTTTTTGGGGGGGGGGGGGGGGGGGGGGGGCTATTTTGAACCCCCGTAAGTGATATTTTCCTGGCATATATGCTAACACAATGGAGACCATAAACAGCAGTTCATGATAACGTCTTTTTAAATCAAGTAACATTTTGAGGGGGGGGGGGTGCGCTATACCCAATGAAGATGCGGATACTGTGTGGGTCTGGACACATGATGGCGTTTTTCTATTCACATCACATTTTCACTTGGCAGCCCAAAGGGGGGGGGGGGGGGTTAAACCCCCTAACCCTTCCCCCATCCCCCCACAGATCCGCCACTGGGATCTTTTGCAAACTGGAAGCAATAAGCATTACATGCAGGCGATGGAAAAAAAAGTGCTTGTGAAACGGATAGAAACTTCGCGGCCACAGGGATGACAGAAAATAATATGACAATGAAACCAGCAACTGTGGCAGGATTAATGGCGGGGACCATCTGCATGCTGAAAGAGCACTTAGAATATCGGAAAATTAATTCAAGACTAAGTTATAATTTATATAGAAGTTATAAAGGAGATAAAATCTTTGGTGTTAGTCATGTTCGACTTAAAATTACATAGTGATATCGATTGCACTGGCCGCCGTGATCACATCACATCAGTGGCGGATCCAGGGGGGGGGGGGGGGGCCCGGGGGGCCCGGCCCCCCCCCCCCCCCCCCCTTGAGAAAAAAATCATGTAAAATCACGTGATTTTTACCTTTTTTGGGGGTTGGGCCCCCCCCCCTGGCGCTCAAGGGGGGGGTGCAAATTGAATTTTTTTTTGAGGCTCAAAAAAAAAAAAAAATGTGCTCACCACCCCCCCCCCCCCCCGGCGCGTTTTTCAAATTTTCGGGAGCAAAAAAAAAAAAAAAAAAAAAAAAAAAAAAAAAATTGTGCTCTGTACCCGTGCTCTGTACCCCCCCCCCCCCCCCCCCCACCCCCCCCCCCCCCACTAAGCGACTTTTCGGCCAGCGCGATTTTCAAATTTTTGGGAGCAAAAAAAAAAAAAAAGTTGGGCCCCCTCCCCTAAGAAATCCTGGATCCGCGCCTGCATCACATATCCCTGCCTAACCCTAACCCTAACTCCGTAACCCTAACCTATAGCCCTAACCCTAGCCGTACCTATAGTGCATGCAGTGGATCGCATACATGACTGTAGTTCGTTGGAAAGCCAATGCAAGATATAGATTGCAGTATATATAGGAGATTGAAGAGAGAAAGAATGAGATGTAAAATCAACAAACAGACATTCCCCCTCCCCCCCCCCCCCCCCCCCCCCCCCCCGTCGTATCCCTGAGCTTGAGCTGTATCAACATGGACTTACTATATAGAGAGCTCTCAGACAGTGTGTCATTTACTTTTACTTTTGGGCTTGCTTTTGCAGACTAGCTGCGCTCCTGAATCGAGGGTCAAGATTGTCCTTCCGGTAGTTTTAACCCCGCGCCAGAGCGTCTTATTCCGCGCGAACAATGATGAATGGTACGGCAGAGAAAATGACGATTTTGTATTGTTAATCGTATTTAATGATTAATTTAAAGATGGAAAATACAACAGAGGAATCGGATACGACTTGTGTACAGGAAGAATTCTTCAAAGATGTCCATTACTATCTCATTGGAACGATTTTAGAAGAGGTAATGTAGGCCAGTCCCGTATGTATTTTTTTACGTTAGTGTGTATTTATAATGGCAGATTTCTCGAGTTAGTCTTCATGTAACAACAATTCAAATTGTGTTTTTGTTATTTTTGTTGTTGTGTTTCTTCTTTTCTTCTTTTTCTTTTTCTTCTTCTTCTTCTCCTTCTTCTTCTCCTCCTTCTTCTTCTTCTTCTTCTTCTACTTCTTCTGATGATGATGATGATGACTTGAGTTCTTTCTTCTTCTTCTTCTTCTTCTTCTTCTTCTTCTTCTTCTTCTTCTTCTTCTTCTTCTTCTTCTTCTTCTTCATCATCATCTTTTTCTTCATCTTTTTCTTCACTTCAGTTCAAGTTAATCTGCCTCCTTCAAATGAAGATTCTTGCAGATGTCGTATATACTCGGCCTGATTGTCCTCATTTTATTCTTGAACATAGAAGAAGAAGAAGACGGAGGAGGAGGAGGGGGGGGGGGAGGCGGGGAGGAAATTAAGGAACTTTAGACCTAGAGTAAGACCGCCAAACTTCGGACACTTAAGACAAAACGGGGGAAAACATTAAAAAAAAAAATTAATTATTGAAAGATCAAATATAGATCTAGACCTAGTCTACTATTATTGTGCAAATACTGTTTATGTATGTCATGAAAAGAAAACTGGTAAAGGAAATGGAAAACTAGAATTATTTACTTACCCGCCGAACCTTTTTTCATGCCAAGCTTCGGACGTTCATTTGTAGCTCACATATAACGCACGTATAGCGCATAGCGCACGTTCAGCGCACGTATAGCGCGCGCGCTAAAGTGCGCATTCATCGGAGGTTTGGAAACCAGATCAAAAATCATTCGACGGGGGTAAGTTTGACTGCGTTGATTTCATGAAAAAAAAGTATTATTTTCTTGTTTTAGGTAGATTTATTTTAGGTAGAACTATCAGAAAGGTGTTTTTCGCAACACTCGCACAATATTTTGGTGCTAAAATCTTACAAAAGCGCTATTTTGTCGTAGTCAAAAGGACACTCAATGTTGCCTGTCCGAGGTTAGGAAGAGCGCCATCTTCTGGTAGGGGAAACTGTACAGTACCCCTAGGTCCGTAGTAACGGCCGCCATTAGAAAATTTTAGCGATAGAGTGAAAAAGTATCTCATAAGCTCCCATAATTTTGGCAGAAACCACCTGAAATATGCCAAGGATTTGTTTGTAATCGATATATTGGAGGCTCTATACCTTAACTCCCCTGTTAAGGGACTGTAAAAATCCAGATAACCTGAAATCTGTCTCTGAATTTGATGTTTTTGTGAGTTTTGCAGACGGCAACCTGCCCTAACTTTCTGTACTAACGATGTAGGTTAGTAGTAGTATCAAATGCATGCAAGTTAACCGCCAGAGCTAGGCTCATATTTTGCGTTTGAGCCGTTGAAGTAATTTTAGTCCGAAGTTTGGCAACGTCCGAAGTTTGGCGGTCTTACTCTATAACATATAATTACATATGCAAATTGTTTTCTTAATAATATGCGCCAGGGAATAATTTTCCTGGTATCGCATCGCAATTTGCTATGCATTTTTGCATGACTGCTATACAAAATATCTTTTGTGTAGCAGTTTTCTTCCATAGAAATGTACAGAATTTCATTTGAAATATTTATCCATCGGCTGAAATTGCTAATCAAAAAATTTGAGGAAAATTATTCCCTGTGCGCAACAAATTAGCTAGTCTGCAATCACCTACCACGAAAGAAACATTGTTGGATGCGATAAGAAGAAAAAGAAGAACAAGAAGAAGACTTGAAAAAGAAGGAGAAGAAGAAGGAGAAGAAGAAGAAGAAGATGATGATGAAGATGAAGAAGAAATAATAATGACACTCTGCTATGAAAAGTTTTATGTGTGTCTTTCTTTTGATATACATGTAGGTGACTGATCTTTTAGAGAAAGGAGGTGGGAAGGAAGAATCGTACCTCACCGATCGAGTCACGCATGTCATTTCAGAAGATGAAGATCATCCAGAAGTCACGGAGGCCAGGGATCTCTTTGAGCTTCCTGTGGTCTCGGTAAGTATCAAATTGGCAACGCTGATCTTTTTTATCTCTCTTCCACTAGCAATTTCTTTGACCAAGCCTCATGAAACAAACTAATAATAAATGCTTGAATAACTCAGGAAATCATGGCCTAAACAAGGTGCATTCCATACTTTATAAGGCTGCGTACACGAAAATAGATGAAACAAATTCAAATAATCAATTTTCTCATGGAATATTGTCCATTTCGATATATAATGGGGAGAAATGTTTAAACCTAAGATTTAAACAATCTGGATTTACTTTCATGAAGGCTTATAGTATATCTACTTAGTCCTATTTATTCAATATTTGTTTTCATTACTCTGTTGGTTTCCTGTAAGAACTTTTTTCCCACTCGTGATATATTTGTCCAGATATTTACTTTTCCTAAAGTAAATGACTTAAAGCCCCACTGCACTACTTTTAGCTACTTGCGCCCTCTATATAGCAAACAATGCCTAAGCGGTGACCCTTGGGCCCCAATGGTCCCCTGTTTCTTATGTTAATTGAGAGCTGATTTGATGAGATATAACCACCTGCCAGTGACCATGCAGGGAGTTCTAATCCCTCCTGGCCAAACTAGTGCAGATAGGCTTTAATGTATTTGTTTATTTTTATGTTTTCAATATTTCTCTTCATCCTACCATCTAGTCAAAATGGGTTACGATGTCTATACGCTGTAAGACCCTTTTGGCAGGGAAGGCGTTTGCACCGGAGTCTGTTCGTCTTTTCACCAACTCCATCGTGTGCTTCTCACAGGTAAGGATTAGTTTTTATTTCATTTTCATAAAAATAGACAATCCTGGGCGGGGGTGTTTCACAAAACTTGTCATCAGTGACAAATGACAGTTGTTGTTATAAGCTACTGATATCCTTGCTTCTGATTGGTTATCAGCAGATTTGGCACTGATATTTGTCATTTGTCATTGAAAAAAAGGCTTTGTGAAACCGGATCCCATATCATAAAATTAAAGACATCATATTCTTACACAAAAACTTGTAACTGTAATGAGTTACAAATAGATATGATATATTGCATTTATAAAGTGAAAAATGAATAAAAAGCGAAACGTTAAAGTTCTGAAATATCCTCATGGAGACTTTCACATGGAAATGTCAGCGTTTATTTCACCAATTTGCAAGAGTGTAGAATTTGTGCAGGATGGAACAGGAGAAAATGGATTAATAATGGAGCAACTATACCCCAAAATGAGGCAAAAGTTATTATGCAAAAAAAATAAAGTTCACATTTTAAGACTTGATTGGACACTTTCTGAACGACTTCCCTGTTTTTCAACTCTTTGATTACTCTCGTCTGCATGGAGATTACCAATGGCAAATTGTCATCAAATTTAAGCAACATGTTTTATGTGAGGAGGTTATTTAATCTCTCTTGTCATAAATAATCTCTCACTATATACCCGTACATGTATGCACTTATGTTCATTTGTTTGCAGGTAGCGGCTTCCGACCGCAATGCATTGTGGGCGCTGATCACATTCCATGGGGGGACCTGCAGAGCAAACCTTAGCAAAGAATGCACACACCTTGTCACATCAAAATGTGAAGGGGTAAGTTATTTCAATTTCTTTCTTCATTTATGATGTTGATTAATATGGTTCGGATTATTATTATAAATTATCTGGCGTCGCCTGTGCCTGTGAGGCAAAATGCGAACTGAATCACTGGAATCCTCAGGTCTCTCCTCCCGGTATAACTGATTAGGGATGTGCAGGTGAACCACTACAACAGATTTCCCCCTACTCTTATACGAAAAGCGCAGTGGATTCTTAAAGTGCAAAGGTGGTGACTCTCCTCTACACGGGCCCTCCATTTAACATCCTATCCGAGGGATTTAGAAGTCATTGTGGTTTGATCAGCATTGTGACGTTCTCTAAAAAAGGGCCAATTTGAACGCTTCTTAGAAAGTGGAGAAGGCGTATACAATGTTTGCGGACAGGCTTTAATCCGATGACTGGCTTGATAAAAGAGACATGTTAGATGTATTAAGTGCTACACAAATCCAGAGTAGTAATAGTAGTAGTAGGAGGGGTGGTGTTAATGGTGGAGGTGTTATTATCTTCATCACCATTTTCCATATGTACTATGGTCTATACCTTCATATTTTCTTTATATTTTCAATGCTGTTATGTCAATTTATATGTAATTTTGATATTGTTATCTGTTGTAAAATTCCATATTTTATCTTTGTATATATTGCCATGATGATGGAAATAAAATGTCAATTCAATGTCAATTCAATCATCATTATTATCTTGCTTTATTTTTGTTTCAGACAAAGTACGAGTGTGCCTCGCAGCATGAAACCGAGGTGAAGATTGTGTGTCCCGATTGGATCCTGTCATCCGTCCTCGCCAAGAAACCCCAAGACGAGAGAACATTCCATCCCAAATACCTCACATTCGAAACCCCACCATTAGAGGGGGCCCTTCCCACGGACGTGGAAATGAAAGGGGAAGCCATGGATGAGGAGCCCGTTACCGAGGGCGACGATAAAGTGGCGAAGGACAAGAAGGAGAAAGTTGCGAGGCCCAAACTGAAACTGCCCTGGGCGGATGACATTATGCCCTTGCCTGACATATCGGCTCTCCCAGAACCGGTTCGGGATGCCCCGCCCTCGGGCAGTACCGCAAACTCGTCCGCGATGAGTTCGTCTCCAGCGTTGGGGGCGTCCTATAGTACCTCGAGCGCTGGATACAGCACGCCGTCGTCCAAGACAAAAGACAAAAAGCATAAAAAGGACAAGAAGAAAAAGAAGAAGCATAAAAAGGAGAAGAAGAAGAAAGACAAGAAGAAGCACAAGCATGCAAGCGGGAGTGGTGGGACTGGTGTGGCACAACCACAAGAGGGCGCTGGTTCGTCTGCCACTGACCAAGGGACGAAGAATCGTAACACGTTACGGAACATTACAAACAAGACAGAGTACTTACCATCGATGGTTGGTGTGCCGGCTGATAAGAAACACGTTTCACAGGTAAGAGGGTACCTAATTCAAATGGATGTCTTCATTAGCTGTTATTTCGCAAGGGTTTTGTTTTTAATAGCAAATTTTACTAATGACCTGGGGGGTGTTTCACAAAGATCCTAAGTCGAACTTAACTCTAAGTTGGACTTACACATTATGGAGAGCCATTTGTAGCCTTAAAATAAAATATATTCAAAAGCAAAAATTTAAGTATTTTAGACTTTTCATAAATTCCACATCAAGAACATGATTTTAATCAACATATTATGCCTTTTAAATAAATTGTACAAAATATTTTCAAAGATGCTAACGGCTTTCCATAATTGTTAAGTCCAACTGAGAGATAAGTTCAACTTAGGATCTTTGTGAAACGCCCCGAGGACTAGGTTCATGAATTTTATGTGGATAAACTTAGTTGAATGATGGAACCAGTATGGGACGGCCACAGTTGATATTCGTCACATTTACATGTACAGTGAAACCTGTCTATAAAGACAGCCCAAGGCAAACACAAAAAGTGGTCTTTGTAGACAGGTTCCTTTTGTACATGTTTCAATGAGAAACTATGTTCATGGGAAACAAAAAATGTGGTCTTTGTAGACAGGTGGTCATTAAAGCAGGTTTGACTTTACTATGTTGTGTACACTGTATATATATCATTGACTTCTGTGTCATGGGCCATACATGTATGGGTATATCGCACTCAGTTTCAGAATATTTCACCCATCGTGCCAAGTACCAACCCACTTGATTCATATACTTTCCAGTTATACCTTTTTGTTCCATTAGAAGCTATGGAATATATAATACTTTGAGGCGGTTTTGTTTATAAATTTCTATGAAGCTACCATCATGCTATCATGGATGCTATGATAGGGGTGTAATTTCATATTTTCTGTCTCTTTCACCATTAGAAAATTACATTACTGAGTGTTTGAAATAATAGATTTTTTTTTTTCTTCTTTTTTCCATCATTTATTAATTGAATAATACGTACATAAGAAACACATGATTATATTGATTGAAAGGAAAAACACATTAACTTATATCACAGAATTATTATCCTTTAAAAAAAAGAAAAATCAGCATTTTTTTCCAGAGGTGATATAAACAGATGTTGCTATGTTCCCACAGCAGGTACTGAATGCGGTAGGGGGGCGACCAGGGGGGCACAAGGGGCGTCTAGACCAGACCTATGGGGGTCTACAGGTTATACCAGAGATTCATTACTGTGGACATGATGCATCGGCAGGAGGTATGATAGTCATCATCTGGTTCAAAATTATTGAATATATTGAAATATTAAAAATGCTTATCAATGGATATTTCAGCCGTCTCTGAACCGATTTTGATCAAACAAAGATGATTTTGTCATTTAAAATGTATGCTTTTCTAAATTTGACACTCCGTTTTTCATTATCTCACAAAAAACTTATTTTGTGTAGCGCCACCTATACCAAAACTTAACTATCCCTTTAAGGTAAATGTAACATGAGTTTCAAAGAGATGAGGAGCGTAGGAAACGTTTATTTGATGATGGGAGTATTGATTAACAAAATTTGTATTATATATGAGATATGGGCTCTAGCATAAGGACCATACTCCTTTTTAGCTCATCCCTTCACTCCCATTATGTTATGTTTTGTTTTTTTGTTTTTGTATTTTTGTTGTTGTTAAATGTATGATATTTTATGTGTGATTATTCCATATTTAATTTGATATGTTCTTGTATTTTTAATGAGTGTAAATAAACGAACTTGAACTTGAACTTGAATTGATCCGTCAAATTATATCAGAAACTTGATTCTACCTTGACTTCTTTTGATGGAATTTACAAGTTCATGTATCACCTCTGAACAGATAGTTTTGTATGTCTCACAATCTTCTTTATTTATCCTTATCACAGTAACCCCGGATTCTTGTTTGCTTGGCTGTATCTTTCTCATCATCGAGTACCCTCATCTAGTGGGGGTGGAGTACATCGATACGTGGAGGAAGGTGAGTGAAGAGGGGTGGTGGTGGTGGTGGTGGTGGTGGTGGTGGTGGTGGTGGTGGTGGTGGTGGTGGTGGTGGTGGTGGTGGTGGTGGTGGTGGTGGTGGTGGTGATGGTGATGGTGATGGTGATGGTGATGGTGATGGTGATGGTGATGGTGATGGTGATGATGATGATGATGATGATGATGATGATGATGATGATGATGATGATGATGGTGGTGGTGATGGTGGTGGTGATGGTGGTGATGATGGTAAATAAGGAGGAGTGATGATGATGGTGGCGGCATGGTGGTGGTGGTGGTGATCATGATTATGAAGGAGTGATGATGATGGTGGTGGTGGTGATGGTGATGGTTATGGTGGTGATGATGATGATGATGATGATGATGATGGTTCATTGATGCATAACATGACGTACCATGTGATGACGATGATGATGGTGATGATGATAGCAATAGTGATGATGTTTTTGTGCTAGTGAGATATGATGATGGTTAATGTGATTGTGATGGTGGTGATCATGATAGTGATGGGGATTTATGCTCATGGTTATGATGATTTTGATGATGGTGTTAGTTTTAATGAAAGTGATAATTGCACTGGTGATGGTTTGGAGAATGATAGTGATGGTAGTGGTATTTGTATTACAGATAGTGGTATGATAATGCTGCAAGTTGCCTCAAGTGCTACTCCTTCAAAATAGTTTGGAAACTAAAGTCTAATAAACTACTCCTCTTGTCATGTCATAACCAGAGCTGCCAACTAGTATGGATTGGTACGGAAATTAATGATCATTACGGAATAACAAAATGTTGTCTAAAATTACGGATTTTAAAAAAAAAATTTAAAAATTAAAATTTTTGTTTGTTGTTGTTGCGTAAATAGGATTAATCGTAGCAAGTGCTGTGCAGTATGGCGGTATTCTCTTAATAGAAGCCGATTTTTCATGGAAAACTGATGTGTTGTCATGACCTGATAATCAATATTTAGCAACTTTGTGTGAGTAAATTCACAACAATTTTGAGCAATCATGTGCGCATGCGTCTGCGCAAAGTTGGCATGCCGTTTTTTTTTTTAGATTCATAGCGCCGCTTAAGAAATTACTGATTTTGAGCCTTGTGATTACTGATTTTCTGTTCTGAAGGTTAGCAGCTCTGCTCAACCATTGCTATGTTTTTGTTGCTAAGGTTGTGAGAGAATTAGTGTGTTTTGCGTCATCTTATATTTTCTCATCTTTTTTCCAATTTTTATCAGGTGATCGTGGAGCATGGTGGAATAGTTGATGATTGCTACTCTGATCGTATCACACACATCATGTGTGACACCCAACGCACAGACATCTTCAGACTGGTAAGTTATCCTTTCTTCAGAAGTGTTACTACACAGGGCAATAGAGTTTGTCTTTGAAGAAATGGTCACATTCTCATTCTTGTCTTCCTCTCTATGATGGTAATCTTGATTGTAAGTTATCCTTTCTTCAGAAGTGTTACTTTACAGCACAATAGAGTTTGTCTTTGAAGAAATGGTCACATTCTCATTCTTGTCTTCCTCTCTATGATGGTAATCTTGATTGTAAGTTATCCTTTCTTCAGAAGTGTTACTTTACAGCACAATAGAGCTTGTCTTTGAAGAAATGGTCACATTCTCATTCTTGTCTTCCTCTCTATGATGGTAATCTTGATTGTAAGTTATCCTTTCTTCAGAAGTGTTACTTTACAGCGCATGAGAGCTTGTCTTTGAAGAAATGGTCACATTCTCATTCTTGTCTTTATCTCTGTAGTGATATCAAATTTGATCACATTAGAATCTAATTCTTCTATGATGGGGATCTTGATTGTAGGTAATGGAACTGTTTTCTTTAGGACTTGAAAGTTTCTCTCATATACATTACATAGTCAATACAAATTCCCTTCACTCGACCCATGTGCTTGTTAATAGTTGTACAAGATAAAAGCAGATCATCATGTGTGATACACAACGCACAGACATCTTCAGACTGGTAAGTTATCCTTTCTTCAGAAGTGTTACTACACAGGGCAATAGAGTTTGTCTTTGAAGAAATGGTCACATTCTCATTCTTGTCTTCCTCTCTATGATGGTAATCTTGATTGTAAGTTATCCTTTCTTCAGAAGTGTTACTTTACAGCACAATAGAGTTTGTCTTTGAAGAAATGGTCACATTCTCATTCTTGTCTTCCTCTCTATGATGGTAATCTTGATTGTAAGTTATCCTTTCTTCAGAAGTGTTACTTTACAGCACAATAGAGCTTGTCTTTGAAGAAATGGTCACATTCTCATTCTTGTCTTCCTCTCTATGATGGTAATCTTGATTGTAAGTTATCCTTTCTTCAGAAGTGTTACTTTACAGCGCATGAGAGCTTGTCTTTGAAGAAATGGTCACATTCTCATTCTTGTCTTTATCTCTGTAGTGATATCAAATTTGATCACATTAGAATCTAATTCTTCTATGATGGGGATCTTGATTGTAGGTAATGGAACTGTTTTCTTTAGGACTTGAAAGTTTCTCTCATATACATTACATAGTCAATACAAATTCCCTTCACTCGACCCATGTGCTTGTTAATAGTTGTACAAGATAAAAGCAGATCATCATGTGTGATACACAACGCACAGACATCTTCAGACTGGTAAATTATCCTTTCTTCAGAAGTGTTTAGCACCATAGAGCTTCGTTTTCATTTACTGTATGATATTGACCCCTGAACCCTTGAGCAATGAAAGAGACAGTGTAGGAAGCGTATTGTTGAACAATTAACTACCTGAAGAAGAGATCCATGTTACTGATCTAAATGTAGCTATTATTGCTATTATTAAACAATATTTTATTGCATTTTGCGCTACTAAAAAACATTTGTGTGTTTGTGTTATACTATGGTGACCTTTGAACCTTGACCTTACAGGCAATGAAGGATGGGAAGCGATGCGTGACAGCGAGCTGGTTGAACGACTGTCTGAAGAAGAAAGCCATGCTACCGCCATGGAGGGCATTGCACTTTCCTGCTCCGTCGTACCCTCTTCAACCCCCACCATGCAAAGATCAGGTCAGAGGTCAAATGAAATCATTTCCTCTTCTTTCTTATAGCGATGATAAAAACAATAATATTCTGTTCTTGTATAGCGCATATATCACATTATAACGTCCCTATGCGCTTCCAAAGAGCTTAAGGAATAATCCTAACAGTTGCCCATTTACCTCACCTGGGTCGAGTGTGGCAAATGTAGATTAATGTCTTGTTGAAGGACGTTAGTGCCGCCGCGGGACTCGAACCGTACACCTTGTGATCCACAGTCCGGTGACATATCCACTCAACCACAACACCTCTAATAGTGGGTTCTTGTATAGCCACCTGGCTTTAGCATGGATGCTATTACAGTGCTAGAGTATTTCTAAAATATATTCCTGCTGCGCACCCATTTGCAATGCCTGGGCCCTGTTTCATAAAACTTATTGTCAATATCAAGTTACATTACCTGTTATAAGCTACCAAAATCATGGCATTTGATTCGCTGAGAGCAAGGTTGTCATAGGATTGTAGCATTTCTTATTGATAACAAGTTTTATGAAATGGGGTTCTGGATGTATTGTGTTGCAAATGATGGAATTGTCAGCAGTATTAAATTTGAACCAGAACATATATCTACACAAATCCATGAATATTTTTCAAAATTATTCTCAACTGACAACAGTGATATTTGCAGTTTGCAGAATCTCTTGTTTTGGAAATGACTGCTGTTATGATTCACAAAATGGCAAGAATCCTTTTTTTTCACTAATTCAAATTGATTCAAATCATAGTGCTCAAAGTGCTAAAAACAATTGAAATGTGATTTTTATTTGCTTGTTAACAGATCATTGCTGTGACTGGTTTTGAGGGAGGAGAGAGGAACGATGTGAAGACGATGATTGAAATGACTGGAGCTAAATACACAGGGTTCTTCAGCAGAGGCAACACTCTACTCATCTGCAAAAGGTCATTACATAAATCTTCCAATGGTAATAAAGACAGTATTGTCTTTTTGGAACCAGAACGGCGTTAACTTGTAAACTTTTACAGTGTTAAAGGGGAACTCCCCCTGATATTGAGTGGCAGCATAGTTTTTCCTATCAAGATTTTGAGTAGCTTAGACAGGGCTCATCACTTAATGCTGCCCACCCTTGTTTGTTTGCTGATAAGGGTATTTAAAAATGGATGGATTTGTAATATAGTCTTGTCCAAATTTTCAATTTTTCTGACCATTTACAGGTTTGACGGGACAAGAATGGAATAGATCATTAAATATGATGATGATAGGGAGATGATAATGATGATGGGGATGGTGCTTGTTTATACAACAAAGGATAATTTATACAGTAGGCTTGAGGTTGCACCATGTGAGAGAGGGAGGATTGGGGAGTCCTGAAAAGGACTCTCGGAAATCTTTCTTGAGGGTGTGTAGTCCTGAAAAGGACTGTTGGTTTAGTCTTGAAAAAGACTAGGATAATGTGCAGAATTGTGTACACCATGTAAGAACATCATAATTTCTTGACCGTTGACAGACTTGAAGGAGCAAAGTATGAGAAGGCCCAGGAGTGGAGGACACCGGTCACTAACGTCCAGTGGCTGAGCGAGGTCATCCTCGGTAACTACGATGCTCTTCATAACTTTGTCATGCCTCGATACCAAGTCTTTGATGTGGACGACCCTTTCAAGCTCGCACTGCTGAGACCACTGAAGCTAATGGGTAAGTGGAAGGTTTTTTTTTACACGAGTGGAAAGATTGTATAAAGAAACATTGTTTTTACAAATACCTTACTGTAAGCAAATGTAGCAAAACAGGAGTACATGGGGGACACAAATCAGATAAAGCTGAATAACCAATTCCAAGGCTGTTCAATCGGTACAATATGATGAGACATATAGATAAACATGCAATTAACAACTAAATTATTAAAATGCTTACCAAGTACTAAGCTTTTCCATGAGTGACATCGCTTTTTTTCTTTTCTTTCAGAACCGTGGATGATACCAATCAAAATATCACAGTCAATACGACGGGTAAGTCATTCAAAAACATTATTTTATATCTGTTTCTAATGTTTGTAATGTGACAATTATTTCAGACTTATCACAAAATCTCAAATGAAATTGGAATAATGATATATTTCAGTTTTCAGTCTTATATACTAAGCTATAAGAAAATATATGATACTACTCATGGTTAGATACAGAAATTGTATGATTTTCATCTGTTCGTTATATCGTTATATCAAATGCTTAAAAAGATAGTTGATAATATTCCTGTTATCAGTTATGCCCATACTTACACTTGTGCCAAATCAAGCCCGAGACCACTTGCGCTGAATGTTTCAGTTATAAAAAATAAAAAATTTGGTGGTTATTTTCATTGTCATCGTCTAGCTTCCGTTTTTTTGTCGCGCTATATGGTTGGACATTTTATTTCCCTTATGGCCCTTCTTCACGCCTACCGGTCTTTAGCATCCCCCTGAATGAGGCCAGATACTTCCATGTCTTCTTCTAGCATGTCCTTCCAAGCCTTGCGAGGTCTACCAAAGAGTCTTAATAATAATAATAATAATAATAGGCATTTGTATAGCACCGTCTATCTAGACAATGCTATTCTTGATCCGACAACCTGGAAATTAGTTGCCCTCTAAATCCAATGGCTTTTCTCTTTCTTGAACAAAGACATCCCATCTCAATCTACTCATCCTTATCTCTTGTGAGATTTTCGTCAGTTTTTTTTAAATACCAATTTTCATTACAATAATTTTATGCTCCTCTTACAGAGTTACATCACAAGCATCGCACAGAAGACAGCCAATCTTGCCAATGGGAAGCGGAAAGGAGATCCACAGTCCCCTGGTAATGCTTCCAAGAAAATCAGGTGAGAAATAAAGATGGAAATCATGGTAATATGGTAATAAGGGAGGTACGATGGCTCAGTGGTAGAGCAGTAATCTCATAGGAATTGGATTGGAAACCAAGTCGATGTGCACGTGCCTTCGGTAAGGCAGTAATCCTCATTACCAAGTCCCTTGTAGAGGGCTGCCGTCGGTTCCCTGGTTGCTTATTTACCAGAATGCTTTCTTACCCGTCAGGTAAAACAAACAAACAAACAAATGTGTTGTTAATTATACAGATTGGAGCAACATCGCTTTGCATCTCTCCCGACAATGCTATTTAAATCTTATTCTCTCTCTCTCTCTCTCTCTCTCTCTCTCTTAGGAACATGATACAGATGGATGATGATTGGGACGCGGGAACACCTCGCATCGCTCCCGACAAGGCTCCTAGAATCTTATTCACTGGTCTCGATGCTGCGAGAATGACCGACTTATCCAAAGTGAGAATTAAACAAATGTCCCTACTTCTTTGCTAAAAAACTGTTTGTTAAAGGTGTAGACCAGTTCTGGTCATGTGATTGCATTGTGAAAGAAACGTTGTGGAATCATCAAAGTGATAAGAAATTGGTCTCTGTAAAATTACAAGCACTGTACACAGAAAGATGCATATGGGACTACGCGATATCTATCCAGTCCGGATAGATTTTACCAAATATATCGATAAGTAGGCGGTTTCTCAGCAAAATTTATTGACCTGATTGGATTTTAGGGTCATAAGATCAAAGACGAAAGGGTCATACATGTATATAAAAAATAGCTTGTAATAACGATATTCTGCGAACCTGTTAATGGATTACAATCAAACTTGAATTTGAAAAATTTCTCTATGGCGGAGGCATCATTTTCGACTGCGTTACTTGTTACTTGTTACTTGTTACTTGTAGAGATAATCTTGATGGCAGCTATCATACAGCTAAACTGGGATGTCCGTGCAACGTGCTGGCATAGTGACAGTGCATGAAGTAATTCAAAACAGTGAATGATGTCTATTATTTACAATAAAACGGTGGACGTGCAAGTAAAAACCGAGACGTGGAGTCTACAGTAGCTTGGACCCAACAGGAGGAGGCAACGCTCTGATGATAGGTAGAGCAGCCTCCTGGAAGATGGTCACTGTTGGAGATGTTACTGCAGCAGCTGATAGGTGGTTCCACGTCCAGATGGTGCGAGGATAGAAGGAGTACTTAAAGCTATCAATGGAAGCTGGGGGTACTGCATACTTCAGAGGGTGATCATTTCTGCCCAGATATGTAGCTGGGATAATGTGAGTGGGAAAAGGCATGTTGAGTTGATGATGGTGCATCTTGTAAAACAAAGTGGACTGTGCAAGAAGCCTGCGGTTGTGAAGGGTATCCCATCCCAGTTTGTTGACAAGTGCTGTGACTGATGTTATTCTCCGGTAGTCTTGGTATACAAAACGGGCGGCAGCTCGCTGTACTTTCTCAAGACTTTGTATTGATGTCAGAGTCCGAGGGTTCCAAGCTTCACTGCCATACTCAAGTTGAGGACGAACAAGCATTGTGTAGGCTTTGGATTTGATGTTCTTGGTGCACGGTGATAGAGTTCTGCGTAGGAGGCCAAGGGTTCTATTGCCTTTCTGGGTGGCGAGTTTACATTGGGTGTTCCATTTAAGGTCATGGGTAATCGTGACACCAAGATACTTGTATTGTTTTACTCGAGGAATTGACTCATTTAGTAGGGTGTAGTCCACTGTGACGGGGTGCTTCTTGTTTGTGATTGACAATGTAGCACACTTCTTGATGTTGAATCCCATCAGCCATTTAGTGGACCAGTCTGCAAGAACATGGAGATCTTCTTGCAGTATATGAGTGTCAGAGGGAGAGTCGATACGCCGATAGATGACACTGTCATCTGCAAATAGACGCATTGTGGACTTGATGTTGAGTTTGATGTCATTGATGTACAGCAGGAAAAGTACGGGGCCGATGACAGAACCCTGCGGTACTCCTGAAGTAACAGGCATCCATGCTGAGCGAGCACCATTGACGACGACAGCTTGATGTCTATTCGCTAGGAGTGACATAGTCCAGCGGAGAGAGTCTCCCCTGATTCCGTAGTAATGTAGTTTGGATCTAAGGTGTGGATGTGGTACGCGATCAAACGCTTTTTGGAAGTCGAGAAAGATGGTATCAGTTTGGCCTCTAGATTGAAGAGAGGATGACCAATCATCGGTAGCTGTGACAAGTTGTGTTGTTGTCGAAAGATTCTGTCTGAAACCATGCTGTTCATCAATGAGTATGTTGTTAGCTGCAAGATGTTTAGAAATGTGGCTAAGCATAATATGTTCCATCACCTTACTGCAGATACACGTCAGCGATATAGGTCTGTAGTTACCTGGGCAACATTTATCTCCTGCCTTATAAATAGGGGCTACAAGTGCACGTTTCCAGTCTAAAGGCACTTCTCCGGTATTGTAACTCTGTTGAAACAGAAATGACAATGCAGGGGCTATTTCGTGTGCTAGCATCTTCAGAATTCTTGGATGTATCTCATCTGGGCCACTGGCTTTGGATGGATTCAGTTGAAGCAGTTGCTTAACTACACCAGACCGGTGGATGTGGAGATGCCCTATGTCATTGTATAGGGAGGGCCGGTTTATGCAAACTTGATCCACGTTGCTCTTGGTGAAGGTAGAATGAAAGTAATTATTCAAACATTCAGCCTTGTCCTTGTTTGTGATATGGAGCTTGTTATCATTTCTCAAGGGTGGTATACCAAAGTTTTCAGATCTACGCTGTTTTACATATGACCAGAAAGCCTTGGGGTTCGCATATAGGCTCTCACCTATTATGTTGCAGACGTAATTGTGATGAGCTTGGCGGACACGTTTGGTCAGTTCGTTTCGAAGCTGCCTGTAGGCCTTCCAATTGGATGCACTAGGCTGACTTCGTGGATCTTGGATGGGATGAATTTATCCTTGCACTTGTTGATGAGTGATGTGATACAGGTCCAGTTTTCATCAACTGACTTCAGCTCTGGTGAAGATGATAGAAAATCCATTGAGAATTTCGCAACAGCCTTGCGGAGTTTCTGAAGATCAGCTTTGTGGAATTGGTAGATTTTTCTTGGCGGAATGCGGCAAGTTCTTGGATTCCCCGAGATCGAAAAAGCAACGATGTTATGGTCCGATATTCCTGGATGGACACAGACATCGGACACCAGTGTTGGATTTGACGCAAGAAGAAGATCTAGTGTATTCTCAGATACAGGGCGGGTTACATCATTAACAAACTGGAGAAGAGAGTTCTCTAGCAGGATATCAAGGAGGAGTTGGTGGATGCTAGTGCGATTGCTGTTTTTAACAATGCATTCCTTCCAATCGATATCTGGTAGGTTAAAGTCCCCGCCGATAATAATATTTGGATGATTGCGTCGGTGTCTAGACATCAATGTGGCAATTGAGTTGCGTAGTTCTTCGAGTCCTTGTTCTCGGCCAGAAGGAGGGCGGTAATAGCTTGCAATGAAGAGAGGCTTGGCATTTGTGAATTGAAGGTGACACCATACTAGCTCGCAGTCTGTGTCAAACTCTGGACAATTTGACACGATGAGGGAGTTGTGAACAGCTACAAAAACTCCTCCGCCATGTTCATTTCTGTCCTTTCGAAAAACATTGTAAGAGCTAGGAAAGACGCTATATGTCGGGCAGGTGTCGTCTAGCTTCGATTCACAACCAAGTATGATATCAGGTCTGTGGTGATCGATCAGAGCCTGAAATTGGGACTGTTTCGTAAAACTCTTGAGGCCATTGCAGTTAATTATGACTGCTTTCAATGCCTTCCTTCTATTTTTCCTTGGTGAAGAGAACTGTAGGGGTGGTGCCTTGTCAGTGGGAGTGGAGGCTTGAGGACCACTTGCAACATCAACATCAACCTCGCTTGCATCGTCATGGAGAGCTGAGTAGCGGTTAGGACTAGTGAAATCAGCATCCAGAAGGGAAGATGATAATTCTGCATTGATGCTGTTACACTTACAGCATATCCACGAAAAACTGCTAAGACGGGTGAGAACACTGTACGAAGAAGCCGAGATGCCTACACATGAGATGTGACACCAGGCATCACAATTGTCACACAATATTGCTTTATCATTGACAGAGACATCCGACTTGCAAATAGCGCATGTAGGAGTGTCTGGACCTGGGTTGGGCTCAACTTGCCCACTGAGAAGAAGTAAGATGGCCAGGTGGCTGGTGGAACGAATGTTGAGGACACATGAAGAGTTACTGCGCTTCTGCTGGAATCTGAGAAAAAGGCAGAGGCTGCGTACACCTGCATGACTAAAATCACGAGAGCTGAAGTTAGGCAATATCAAAAGATGTTCCTGCTGATCTAGAAATCGTGTATCACTTTCTTCAATGACGTATGTCTTCACAAGCACGTGCATAGAAGACATAAGGACAAGTAAGCTGATGAAGAGGTGATGTTCCTGCATGATGTAGGAAGGAAGCTAGGTTTCAGAGACAAACAGCTCGATTTTGATGGACTATAGATTGGTGCAAATTTCGATAAAATGCTAGAGACTATAAAACAGGATAACAACTGAGAAAAAAGCTGGTTTGGTCTCACTTGAATTGAGTTGAATTTGTGAGTGTAGCTTTTACAAAGTCCAGCAAAAATAACTGGAAAATAACTGGAAATAAAATAACTGGATTGGTCTTACTTTATCTTGGATGGTTAAGAAATCTAGATGCTTGTAATAAAATATCCACAGATCATGATGAGTGATAAGGAAAAGTTGACTAGAAGACTGACTTGATGTGTGTGTGTAGTTGTTCCTAAGTCCAGCAAGAATCTCAATGCATGGGACCACACTGTAGAACTTGAGCTGGGCCCCCCAGACCAAGCTTGAAAACTGATGAAAATATCGCTTGAAGTAGGGTGTTACATGAAGATCAAAATGGTCTGGAAGTATCTAGAAGGCTGTTTGAAGATGATGATAGGGCGCGCATGACAAATAACTTAAAGATTATAGTAAAAAGTGAGATTTAATTTGGTAATGACAGGAGTACATGCACCACACTATGCCAACACTATGCCTAGCCTAATTCATCCACAAATTTGCGTGCAGTCAAACATCCATCTAGCTTGTATCAGCTATACCGTAATGAAATGTAAAGAAAAGAATTAAATGAGAAATAAAAATAAAATTTCATTACGGCAAATATTTTCTCCTGTTTTTCCTTCTGCAGAAAATTGAGAAGCTTGGTGGACGGATCGTGGACTCCATCAGTCAGTGTACTCACCTGATAGCATCCAAGATAATGAGGACGGTCAAGTTCCTAGCCGGTGTCTCCGTGTGTAAGCACATCGTCTCACCTATGTGGATAGAGGAGAGCTACAAGAGCAGATGGTTTCTGGGTAAGGTCAAAGGTTAAAAGAAGTAGTAGTGGTAGTAGTAGTGGTAGTATTGGTAGTGGTAGTGGTAGTAGTACAAGCAGTCAGTGTTTAAGCACATCGTCTCACCTTTGTGGATAGAGGAGAGCTACAAGAGCAGATGGTTTCTGGGTAAGGTCAAAGGTTATTAGAAGTAGAAGTGATAGTAATAGTAAGGGTGGTTGTAATAGTAGTAGTAATGGTGGTAATAGTAATAGTAGTAGTAATGGTGCTAATAGTAATAGTAGGAGTAATGGTGGTAATAGTAATAGTAGGCAAATAACTTCCGTTGGTGAAGGTGATGGGACAAACTATCACTTCCGAGGCGATCTGGATGTAGCTATCGTTCCGAAGCGAAGCTGAGGAAAGATAGCATATATATTCTGATCGACGAGGAAGTGATAGTTTGCCATCGCCTGAAACCAAAAGGTGATTATTTGCTTTATTTTCCACATCCACATCCAAAACAATTTAACTACAAAAAAGAAAAGGACGTGTATGCATCTACATGAAAGACACCAGGCCCAAATTCACACGAAAAAAAGTTAAAAGTTTAACCCAACCCCTTTGAGGGTACGGTGCGCGCATGTGTTTGCTTTAATTGCGCTCATTGGTAATGCGCGCTTAATTACGCCTGTTTTAGTGCGCTTTTGGATAATCTTCAGTGAAAGTGCGTTGCCCTTTGTAGATAGTACCTTTATCTTCAGTAAAAGTGCGTTGCCCTTTGTAGATAGTAGTACTATCTACAAAGGGCAACAAACTTTTTGCTTCTCCCACCAATGATGGGCGAACTATCTTTGATCACGTGATTTACTTATGACCAATCGTAGAGCAAGATTCTTAGTATGTAGAATATAATAGTAGTTATTAATGTAGTAGAAGTAGTACAAGTGGTATTAGTAGTAGCAGTGGTATCGAGGAGAGCTACAAGACCAGAAAATCTGTGGGTAAGGTCAAAGGTTAATGTAGTTGAAGTAGTACAAGTGGTATTAGTAGTAGCAGTGGTATCGAGGAGAGCTACAAGACCAGAAAATCTGTGGGTAAGGTCAAAGGTTAATGTAGTTGAAGTAGTACAAGTGGTATTAGTAGTAGCAGTGGTATCGAGGAGAGCTACAAGACCAGAAAGTCTGTGGGTAAGATCAAAGGTTAATGTAGTAGAAGTAGTACAAGTGGTATTAGTAGTAGCAGTGGTATCGAGGAGAGCTACAAGACCAGAAAATCTGTGGGTAAGGTCAAAGGTTAATGTAGTTGAAGTAGTACAAGTGGTATTAGTAGTAGCAGTGGTATCGAGGAGAGCTACAAGACCAGAAAATCTGTGGGTAAGGTCAAAGGTTAATGTAGTTGAAGTAGTACAAGTGGTATTAGTAGTAGCAGTGGTATCGAGGAGAGCTACAAGACCAGAAAATCTGTGGGTAAGGTCAAAGGTTAATGTAGTTGAAGTAGTACAAGTGGTATTAGTAGTAGCAGTGGTATCGAGGAGAGCTACAAGACCAGAAAGTCTGTGGGTAAGGTCAAAGGTTAATGTAGTAGAAGTAGTACAAGTGGTATTAGTAGTAGCAGTGGTATCGAGGAGAGCTACAAGACCAGAAAGTCTGTGGGTAAGATCAAAGGTTAAAAAAAGAAGTAGTAGTGGCCACCTCTTTATAAGACCAACTGTCTATCGAGGTCACCCGTCTTTTACTTACATGGGATGGCTGTAATAGACAGGTTTGACTATACTTCAAATCATCAATCTTTTTCTTATCTCTCTCTTTCTTTCTAGATGTGACAAACTTTTCTCTTGTGGATCAGGAGATGGAGACATTGTTTTCATTCCAACTCAGGGAATCTCTGATCAGAGCCTGCAAGCAGAAGCTATTCAAGGTATATCAATGATGATGATGATGATTGATGGTGATGATGATGATTGATGATGATTGATGGTGGTGATGATGGTGGTGATGGTGATGGTGATGAGATGATGATGATGATGATGAGATGGTGGTGATGGTGATGGTGATGGTGATGAGATGGTGATGATGATGATGAGATGGTGATAATGATGATGAGATGATGATGATGATGATGGTGATGATGATGGTGATGATGATGATGGTGATGATGATGGTGATAATGATGATGATGGTGATGATGATGATGATGATGATGATGGTGGTGATGATGATGATGATGATGATGGTGGTGGTGATGGTGATGGTGGTGATGATGATGATGATGATGATGGTGATGATGATGATGGTGATGGTAATGGTGATGATGATGATGGTGGTGATGGTGATGGTGGTGGTGGTGGTGATGATGATGGTGGTGATGATGATGATGGTGGTGGTGATGATGGTGATGATGGTGATGATGGCGATGGAGATGAGATGATGGTTCTTCTTGAGTTACGAAAAACGCAAAAAACATCCAATTTACAAGGGTTATGAATAATTTAGCAAAGTATATACCGTTTTACAGTCAACCTTTTAAAAAGGAAAGGTTGATGTAAATGTATTCATTTTGTAAGACTATTCTCTAGTTTGAATGTCTAATACTCAACATGTGTTCAGTGAAGCACAACAGACATATTGCCTGGGCATTAGTTTTTAACTATTGCCTAGACATTGTTTTTAAGCAGATAATAATGTAGTTCATTTGCGCAGTTTTGACCTATCAGGGAACCGGTAGGCTACTTTCTAATACCGATGGGATTTGAAAACAAATCAGCAGTCAATGGGGGCGATATGAATCATAACTATTACCTCTCCCTCTCTTTTATTTGAAGGATGTAACAATCTACATCACACCGGGCGTCAAACCGGGAGCCAACATGCTGAGGGAGATCATTGAGTGTGCGGGGGGCAAGCTCGCCCCCTCCCGTCCCTCCCTCATGAAGATCAGTCACATCCAAAGCGCCCTGGGGAAAGGGTCCTTTGTAGTGATCAGCTCCCCCTCGGATATGCCGTCATGTAGAGATTTCTTCACGCACAACATCGGTAAGTATGTGGTCTGCTCAGCAATTTGAGCCTAGTAGCTCTTGTTGGAATGCTCCACAGGGAGTGGAGAAAGTGCATACATTGTGTGTGGGCAAGCCAGAATCCGATGACTGGGTAATAATGTCAACTCGGACATTACCGACGTATTAAAGAGAAGGTTGAGTTCTGGGAAGAGGTGAAAAATAATTTGTGAGCATTACTCATTCTTATTATGCAAGTGTGGAAGAACATCAGTTAAGACATGTTCCCTGAAAAGCATGGCTCTTCAAATGCCTTCATATTCTAAATATGCATGTAACATCGTAAAAATCGGGGGGGGGGGGGGGGGGGGGGGGCGGCTTTTTACGCCACGTGTTCGTGTAGTCCCATATACATCTTTCTGTGCAAGTGTTTGTAACTTTACCAAGACTTGGCCAAATTTCTTATCATTTTGATGATTCCAGAACCTTGCAATACACACAAATTCTTATATGCTAGATGATCAACCTTTTCTGGTCGGTTTCACACCGTTTCTTTCACAATGCAATCGCATGACCAGAACTCAACTTCATCTTTAAGCGCTATATAATAAACAAAAATATTATTATTATTAAGTGCTACTGGGAGAAAAGGCTGTAATATTGAAGAGGCGCGATGGTTCAGTGGTAGAGCAGTGTTCTCATTCGTATCTGAGAGGTCCTAGGTATGAAACCAAGTCAATGTGCTCATCCCCTTTGCAAGACTTTAATGCTCATTACCAAGTCCCTTGGAAAGGACTTTGGTAAGTGCTACTTATTGAAATGGCTGTAATATTGAGGAGGCGCAATGGTTCAGGGGTAGAGCAGTGTTCTCATTCGTATCTGGGAGGGCCTGGGTATGAAACCAAGTCAATGCGCTCATCTCTGTTCATTATCAAGTCCCTCAGAAGAAACTTAAAACCGTCTGTCCCCTGGTTGCTTACTTACAGTCAGGTAATGCAATCATCGGACATTATCATATTGGATGTTTGTCAATTGAGTACTGAAGTGCTAAAGTCATATTCAATCGTCGTCCAGGAGGGTGTTTCACAAAGCCTTTTTTCAATGACAAATGATAAATATCAGTGACAAATCTGCTGATAAACAAGCAGAAGCAAGGATTTCAGTAGCTTATAACGAAACCGGTCATTTGTCACTGATGACAAGTTTTGTGAAACGGGCCCCAGGAGTAGTTGGAGTAGTAAGACAATTAGTAGTAGAGTTATTATTATTTTTGTTGTTGTTTTTGTTGTGATGATATATCATGCACTTATCCTGTTTTAAGATTTGTCAAAATCCTCTCCCCTTGCAGATGTCCACAATGCTGAGTTTGTTCTGACCGGGGTTCTGAGACAGCAGCTCGACTATAAATCATATCCTTTGAATACAATTATTTGTGACTTTTTGCCCTGACACCTGGGGGGTGTTTCACAAAGATCCTAAGTTGAACTTATCTCTAAGTTGGACTTAACAATTATGGAAAGCAGTTAGCTTCCTTGAAAATGTTTTGTAAAAGTTATTTTAAAAGGCATAAAATGTGGATTTAAATCGTTCATATTTTCAATTATCATGGGAGATTTCATGTTCTTGATGTGGAATTTATGAAAAGTCTACAATACTGGAATTTTTGCTTTTGAATACCGTATATTTTATTTTAAGGCTACAACTTAGAGTTAAGTTTGACTTAGGATCTTTGTGAAACACCCCCAGGGCTCGGTTTCATAAAACTTACCATCGATGATAAATTTGCCATCAATGTAACTACCATGAAAACCTTGATTTTGATTGGCTGTTGAGCCCTGTTACCATGGTAGTTGCCATTGATGGCAAAGTTACCATCAAAGGTAAGTTTTTATGCAACGGGCCCAGGGCTCTGTTTTATAAAACCTTTCATCAATAACAACTGCCATTGATCTATGACAAATCTGCTCACTGCCACCCACATGTAAGGATTTCGGTAGCTTATAACAATTATTCTTTTTTGTTATTGATAACAAGTTTTATCAGACAGGACTCTGGACAGAATCTCAATTCACAATGAAAAGGGCACACATTCTGTTTGGTGTAAGAAATATGATTTGTATTGAGTTAAACATTTGATTGTGTTGGAAATGTGATTTTAATGAGTTGTCATACTTAGAAATTGATGTGCATTTTTAGTACCTTTGAATGATAAATCTTGTGCAATTAGGCAATATTGCTGCAAATCTTGTTTCTCTTAAATAAACAATCAATGAATTCATGGAATCTGTTAACCGATCTATTTCTCGGACTGATTTTGAGACAAACATAATTAGAACATAATAAACAGTAACAAGGATCTCTCTATTTGGGGGGTTACCAAATATAAATCATATTCATTTCAGTAGCTTATACATTGTTAACGTGTTTTATTCACTACATATTTAATGAAATAGGGCACAGATGAAGTTCAGATTGCAACTCAGTTACAGGTTTATTCAATGTAATGCTCTGTCTACATTTGGATTTGACGAATATGAAAACTCTTTTATATATCTTCCTTGACCTAGAAATACATTTAGATTTGATCCTCGTATCTAGAAGACCAAGACCAGCTGAAGACCAGTCACTTGGAGTTAGCCCAGCCTTCTACTCAGCTGTGAAAATCTAGATTTGGTCTAGACTTGTTGTATTAGACCTGGACCACCTGCAGACTAACTAATACACTCATTGAGAGATGATCTATCCCTCATCACAGTAAACCAGGACTATCTGAAGATTGATCGCTATGGAGTTAGACCAGACTTTCATGCAGAAATTCACAATGGAAATGGTCTAGATATGATTGCAGAAGACTAGGACCATTTATAGGCCAGGCACTATGGAGTCAGCCCAATTTTGCACTCAACAGTTTGACCTTACACCTTTTATTACAAGCTTGAGCCTGGCATCTTCACCCTCCTCATTCAAAAAACAACATGAAGGCCTCAAAACAAAAAACAAAAGGAGGCCATTTGTATTACTCAACTCTAGCATTGTTCTGCTATCCACTTATTTGTTTGTCTTTACTTCATGATATGGCTAGTTGTATTCAATAAAGCTTTAATGTAGACATGTATTTACAGTATGTGTTATCATGTTCTGCAAAAACGTGTATATCACTGGATATAAAACTTTATACTCTTTAAGGCTTGTTAAGATAAGGCGCGAAAATCGCTGCAGAAACAAAAATCAGCGCAGTTCTTTTACGTGTAAATGAATGACAACTACCTGCAACAAAGGACTTGTGCATATTTGCTGATCTCTGTGTTGTAAGATACAGAAATATAAAGCTATTACTCTTTACATCATCGTTAAAAAAATGCTGTAGTTTTGCCGTGTCACGTCTGAACAAGTCTTAACTCTTAAGCTGCCACCCATACAATGCACCCAGTGCCACAGTGCTAATCCCTATTGTGCCAGCCACAAATTTCCTGTGTGCCAAGTTAATTTTAAGGTTGGTTCAAGTGCATGTTAATTAAATCTTTACCAAAAAACAAATCGCTAAATTACTCGAGAAAATCCAATCTGACTGTTGTATACAAAGACGCGTAATCCAAAGCCGATAATCTGATGCACGCGATGGTACTTTCAATAGCGCTGCAAAAGCACTCAGAACGGTGCAATGGGCATGAACAATGACTGTTATTACATATGCGCCCTTGCGTGCACAAAGCAGAGTAGCGGTGGCTCGCTAGCATAAACGTGGCATTCAATCGATAGCGCGCTCGCGTGCACAGAGCACTATATCAATAGCGCGCTAGCAGTCTCATGGCAGGATATGAGTTAAGACATGAATCTGTTTGTTAGATGCTATTCATGTTTTAGTGTCACAATTAACAGACTGTCTAGTATTTAGAAGTTATTGTCAAACTTATTCTGGAATCGCTTATTCCCAAGTAGTGATTTCAGGATTAAGTAATAACTTGTGATTAAAATCATTGTATCATCTGTAAAGAGTTAGCATGGCTAACTCATATATTTTTACGTAGAGTTGATAGCTTTCTGGCTCGGAACGGACTACATTATATGAAGCATATTGAGCGAAATATGGCCTCTTGATCAATTGCATCACATCTTTAGACAGGTACTTTATGATCATATACTTTCTTTCCAAATACACGTTTGATTTATAGTAGAAAATGAAGCAATATAAGAAAATAGGAAATTGCTTTTTGGAGGTGGAAAAAAGTACCATAGCTCCGCTCAACAAAGGCACTAAGCATAGTTATGTGTGTTGTAAGATACAAAACTGTGCACTATGCCTACGGCCTTGCACCATTTTCTGTTTTACTGCAGTGATCTTTTAGGTCGTTTAATCTATTCTTTGTAAACGTTCGTTCAGATATTCCATGGTAAATCGCCATGGTTTTTTGTTTGTTTTGTTATAATGACACTTCACGTTTCTGTATCTTGAAACGCTGAGCTTACTGAATACTTGTAGGATATTTGTTGTCTGCAGTTGCCATTCATTTAGGAAGTACATAAATCTTACATGAGGTTGCTTGTTATGCTACTGTATAATATGTGAATAACTTTATATATAATGTAAATATATAAGATGTTTTCTAATGATCTTTTTATGATTGTACTAGAAATTAGTGAATAAAAATGAATGAATCATGCTGATTTGTACAATGTATTTATCATTTGGTTTATGTCGAAAATGAGAGTCGCAACACATACATATTTTTTTAAAACTGATATCATGTATGTTTTTTTCCACCAGGATAGCTCGGCCCATCAGTAAATGAAAATGTTATCACCCGTCATTTCATGTATCCCAAAGTTAAACTGTCTACTGCGGGTCCACTAAAGCAAACCAAAACTTATAATAGAGAACAAAGCGGCACAAAATCATTAAGCCTCCAAAATATTATTGATTCATTTAACCAATTGACTTCTGCATTCTCTAATTCTCATAGGCTTAATACAGGGGTCTTTAGGTTCCTGTATGCGAAGGGTTAGGGCAGGCCATTACAGAAACAAACTGACTTAATTTGTCTAGGTGGGCGTGTGTATGTGGGTGCCTAGGTGTGTGTGGTGTTAGTGCGTGTGCTTTGTTGTTTGTGAGCTTTGGAACGATATAGGAGAAATAAGAGAAAAAATAATTCAAAGTTATAGACAGAAATTTAATAAGATATATTTAGTAAAGAGAGAAACAGAAGAGCAGGTGATCACATGAAGACTTGAATGCCATTATTTTGTCTGAAGGTTTTTTCTACCTCCCTTTCCCTTTTACTACTACTGCTACTACTACTGCTACTACTACTACTACTACTACTACTACTACTACTACTACTACTACTACTAGTACTGCTGCTACTACTACTACTAGTACTGCTGCTACTACTACTGCTACTACTACTGCTACTACTACTACTACTACTACTACTACTAGTACTGCTGCTACTACTACTACTAGTACTGCTGCTACTACTACTGCTACTACTACTACTACTAATACTACTACTACTACTACTAATACTACTACTACTACTTCTACTACTACTACTCCTACTAGTACTCCTGCTACTACTACTAATACTACTACTACTACTACTACTAGTACTGCTACTACTACTGCTACTACTACTACTACTACTACTACTAGTACTGCTGCTACTATCCACTATTACGATCAGTGGCGGATCCAGGGGGGTGGACATGTAAAAACATATTAATTTTACCTTTTTTTGGAGATGGGCCCACTCCCCTGGCGATCAAGGGGGGGGGGGGGGGGGGGGGGGGTACGATTTTTGCAATTTTTGAGGGCCCCCCCCCCCCCAAAAAAAAAAAAAATAGTGCTCACTACCAACCCCCCTCTTGTTGAGCGAATTATTGGCCTGTTATTTCGCCGCTAAATATTTTCAAGAATTTGGCCCCCCTTCCTGCCGCCAGCTGGATCCGCCCCTCATTACCACTACTACTACTACTACTACTACTACTACTACTACTACTACTCCTACTAGTACTGCTGCTACTACTACTACTAATACTAATACTACTAATACTACTACTACTAGTAGTAGTACTGCTGCTACTACTACTGCTACTACTACTGCTACTACTTCTACTACTACTACTACTACTACTACTACTACTACTACTAGTAGTAGTAGTACTGCTTCTACTACTGCTAGTACTACTACTACTACTACTACTACTACTACTACTACTAGTACTGCTGCTACTACTACTACTACTACTACTACTACTACTACTACTCCTACTAGTACTGCTGCTACTACTAATACTACTACTATTACTACTATTTCTATTTCTACTACTACTTCTACTACTATTACTATTACTACTACTTATACTTCTACTACTACCTATATTTCTACTACTACTGCTACTACTTATACTTCTACCATTACCACTACTACTACTACTACTACTACTTATACTTCTACTACTACTACTACTACTACTACTACTACTCCTACTAGTACTGCTGCTACTACTACTACTAATACTAATACTACTAATACTACTACTACTAGTAGTAGTACTGCTGCTACTACTACTGCTACTACTACTGCTACTACTTCTACTACTACTACTACTACTACTACTACTACTACTACTACTACTAGTAGTAGTAGTAGTACTGCTTCTACTACTGCTACTACTACTACTACTACTACTACTACTACTACTACTACTACTACTACTCCTACTAGTACTGCTGCTACTACTAATACTACTACTATTACTACTATTTCTATTTCTACTACTACTTCTACTACTATTACTATTACTACTACTTATACTTCTACTACTACCTATATTTCTACTACTACTGCTACTACTTCTACTACTACTACTACTACTACTACTACTACTACTACTACTTATACTTCTACTACTACCTCTACTTCTACTTCTACTACTATTGCTAATTATGGTACTACTACTTCTACTTCTACGTTTACTACTACTACTACTCTATTACTACTTCTACTACTACTAGCACTTATACTTCTCTACTTCTTCTACTACTACTACTCCTATTCTACTACTTCTTCTAACATTGTTAAGACTACTACTACTACTACTACTACTACTACTACTTATAATACTGCTACTACTACTATAATACAACTACTACTGCTTCTACTTCTACCTTTTCTTCTTTGTCTTCTCCTTCATCCTCTCATAAGAATAAGAATGTATTTATTTATTTCAAACGGTTTATTTGATTAGAAATCATTCGGGACCAGATGGTCGAATTGCAAATTCTTCAACAATCAGAACAGATATAATGGATAGATAAATTAATAATGATACATTAATTCCGGGCATCCATACAAGCTCATCAAGATACAGAAGCATGTAATAGGCCTACGGGTCACAGTAGATGAAAAGAAGAAGAAGAAGAAGAAGAAGCACAAATTTGACCCACATTCGGCCAAAAGATCAATGAGGCATTTTGTGTACCTCCCACACAGACGACGAACAATCGAGTGCACTAGAGCGTAACACCAAGGTGCCGGAATCGTCGATTTTTATGAAATAGGGGTTTATCGTAGAAAACTGGTGAGAGTGTGAATGTCAACACCGCTGTGCGAGCGTGACTTGTCAACTCTCTCTCTCTGTCCATGTCCATGCTCTGTCTCTCTCTATCTCTCTCTTCCCTCTTCTTCTCCCGAAAAAAAGAAAACAAATCAGGAAATTATAATAGTCTAGCAGATGCAGATGCACATCACAATGCATAAGTCCATTGTAATCCCTCCGTCTAAGATGGGCGGGATCACCCTGCAATATGAATACGCGATTCCTTCACTAGCAGATCGACCATGAATATTTAGATCTGCTCATAAAGCGAGTTCAGAGTGCCATTAATTTGCTAAATTTCAGGAAAACTAAAGAATTCAGTGTCTCGTGAAAGATATAATCTAATCCCTACACACTTTTTTTGTAAAAGATCGTCCATAATATCTAAATTCCCTTCAGTAAATTGCTGAAATCAACATAAAATGTATCTTTTCCATCGCCGCGGAGCTGAGTCAAATGTGGTGGTCGAAATACGCACGGCTGCGAGCACGGTGTGTAAGCCTCATTGTCCGCTGTGTAAAAACTTCGCTTACGCACAATGCATAAATTACGGAGGTCGATGCGTAAATTTCAGAAAGCTTCTTTTTATTGGATTGAAATTGGCCCTAATTTCTCGACAACCAATCAAATTATGTGTTACATCAGACGGTAGGGGATTACATATCCTCTGTTTTGGCGCCCGAGCTGGCCCAATAACAAGACGCAGTTACGAGCATTAGCTCCTTGAAGTACACAACCCCAGTGAAAAGGGCGAATTTTCACGTGACCTCCATAGAGAATTCACAAAGTAAATGATTGTTGACTTGTTGTCCCCTTTTGAAGACGAAAAGGCCCTAATTTCCAGTGAACAAATCACTTCGAAATTGAATTCAATGGAAAGAACAGTAATTGAATATGTGATTTCCACCCGAGCTGATGTGAAATCAAAGTTTCTTTTCATTGTAGGAGCATTTCTTTGCACACTTAGCGCATTTTCAAAGAAGATTTCACGTGTTGTAGACCGCGTAGCGAGTCCGCGTTTAGCAGATGCCCGAAATTTGTTCATAAGAAGAAAATACCAGAGTGAGCGAGAAAGGTGAGAGAGGGAGAGAGAGAGAGAGAGAGAGAGCGATATTATTGGTTGTGGCGGCCTCAATACACACACATCAATGACGTTTTTCATAACTATTATGAAATAGTGCATGCTGATACCAGGGGTGGATCCAGCCGGCGACGAGGGAGGCCGGAGCGCAAGTGGGGACCTAATTCGTGAGAAAATATTTAGCGGCGAATCAGCCGGCGAATAAGCTTGGGGAGGGGGCGAGCACTAAAATTGCTCAACTGGGAGCGAAAAGCAAGGGGGTTGTCAGTACTATTTTTTTTTTAATTGTGATTACATTTGTTTTGTTAACTTTTTTTTGGGGGGGGGGGGGGCAGTGGTGGGGCCGGGCACCCTCACTATGAACATGACAGACAAAGAAAGCGGACAAAATATACAGTTCCTCAGGTAGACAAAGGAACATCCCTTCACTGCTATTATGTAAAAAGGTGAATATGCATGTGACACCTGTTCTACACATGTTTACATAATAGCAGTGAAGGGATGTTCCTTTGTCTCCCTGAGGAACTGTATATTTTGTCCGCTTTCTTTGTCAGTCATGTTCATAGTGCCCCTTCCCCTCCTAGACCCGCCACTGGCTGATACAGTATTCGGGCGGGGGAGTTGGATGGGGGTAAAAAAATTCCATGTAATCAACTCCCCTCCACCCACATGCATACGTACATGCACCCTTCTCTGCTTGGACTTATATGTGTAACGCTGAAATAATATTCACATATTCACAAAGTGCAGCGGGGCTTATCTTTATTCAATACATTTGCACATTGTGACAATGGTACATATTTTTTCCCTGTACTTGACTATTTCTGCACGATATGCACTGTATATGCAGTGCGTGAAAAGTATTGGCTTTGTAAAGACATTCGCGGTGTCAGGTTCGGTTTAGTTTGGATAGATTAAGACGCCATCTTGATTTGCACAAATCACCAGAACATTATCGAAAAGTTCTTCCTCAGGCGAAGTTTAA